AATAAACTAAAATGATACCAGAGGAGAGGAAAGAACAGGAGAGGAGCTAGGACTCTACTCGTAAACTCTAATCTCTAGTCATTATTAATACCAATACGAGTACAGTAATGTAATACAATACTTGAAAGTTGAAATGAAGATTTCCCAATTTTATAGATCTCCATCTTAGACTTAGACGCTGTTGGATTCTTATGCCTGTCTTTCACAACATAATACAATACTGCTGCTCATGGCATGGAGAAATTGCACAGAGAGGGGTGGTATATCAGTATGTACATCTTTCAATGACATCCGCGCTGCCAGATCCAGATCTAAAGGGAAGGGAAAGGCGCCTCGAAAATAGCAGAAGTGGCAAAAAAACTGTAGAAATGGCAAATATTCACATACCGCGATGGTATTGAGCGCCAGGCACAGTACCGGTACTTGAGACTCGATTAGATTAAGGGAAGCACAATTACAAGATACAGCGCCGGCGGTTTGATATTGCGATTCGATTTGAAGTAAGATTACAATACCATGTTGTGAGTGGAAATGAAGAAATGAAATGTGACGATTATTATCTTGTAGAGTGAAGGGTGAAGAGGGATGAGTGATGATTGATGAGTTCTTTGATGGAGTTTTGGAGTTATTGAGGTTGGTGGGATTGGGATGCTTGTGCTATTGATGGTATAGTGTGTATGATTAGCGAAGAATTAAAAAGGAGGGAGGAAAAAAGAAGCGGGTCCTGTACAGTACCTATACAGTGGGAAAAGAGCAGCGGCAAGATATGATGTCTTTTCTGAATGGATATTTGGTAGATTAGTTACCGGTATTCAATAAAACCCCTAGGTCACGGTAGAGAGGGGTTCTTTTTGGGATTCTTGATAGTGTCAACCGACACCTTTCCGCGCGTTACGTGCGCCTTGAAGCAATCGCTCACTTCAGGCTGCACTCGAGATTAGCATAGGCCGGAGCCCTTAGCCTTCTATACATGTCTACCTCTTGTATATAAGTAATTATCGATCTAAAACATTTCTTTCAACTGAATATTTTGACAAGTCAAAATCAGAAATCAAAACATCCGTTTTAGATTGTTAAAAACGATGTCAAGATTACTACGTCTGCGAAATACTCGAGTATAACTGATTTCCTTAATTTTTTTTAAAAAAAATCCTATAATTAGTATTAGGAATAGGTTTGCATAGAGTAATTGTATGGGAAATATCTAATTAGTATCTGCTCGTGATTTTATAATTGTAGTCTCAGCTCACCGGGAGGTCGCGGGGTTGCTGACTCACCATTGATTCGGCGATCAAAAGATTATGGATTCATCTCCGCGACCACTTAAAAGTAAAACGGATCCAAACCACGCCAATCTTCCCAAGCACCGGGAACCTCACCACAATTTTTATTCTGAATAGAGATGCGATGGCTGAGTTACCACTGAAATGCCATCCGCCCTGCCTGTGCCTTCCAAAAGTGCACTGCGAGCACTTCGCAACATCGCCCTCGGAACATCTTGCACTGTTGCATTTAGTACTGGGATGCTAACAGAGGATCGCCGACGACGAATTCACGGCGCGAAATTGGTGCATGACAATGCAAAGAAATTGAGGTCGTCAAGGCAATACCACGATTCAAATGTGCATTTGGCAGATACGTTTGAGGAGCAGGTCTCGAGATATAAGGATGATGGATTTTGGGAGGCGGGACGCAGCACCGCCTTGAGCAATGCCCAAAGTTCGGAAGTGGTTGTGGCTGTTGGTCAAACGGCTGGCAAGATGATAGAGCCGGTAAATCTGATACCACCTTCAATCCCGTTCAAACCACCCCGAATCGAAAAGCTTCGCCCCCCACCTATACAAGAGTCGAATCAAAACCCTACGGACATCGATGAAGATCGTCAACTGCGTCTTGCAAATGATATACAACAGATTCTTGGACATGAAGAGGGTTCCGTAGCCGTTGAATCTGCACTGCGGCGGTTCCTAGAAGTGTTTGAGGAAGGCTTGGATATGGGATCTAGTGGCATGCAGTCATGTCTTTTAGAAGCAGCAATTGTGCTATCTACGGCTTGTCGAATATCGTCTAGGATGGAGGATATGGGCAAAATCCTTGATATCGTTCTCGAATCTACTACGCTTTCCGAGACCGACTTCAAGCGATTTGAGCCACATATTATTATTGGATCTTTGTTGCAAAGTTCAGTTGATGAGGCTGGCCAGGATGCCGATTCTCCTAAACTGCGAAAAGCTTCTACTTTGTGCCTTGTGGAGTTCAAGGAGAAGCCGGGGCCAATTTCAAACAAAATGAAGCCTGTCACAGTGGAAGCTTGCAACTTAACCTGCCGTTATAGCATGTACGAATTGACCAAGCAACTGTTCTGGCGAATTGAGGCTACTCGTGGCAAAACACCTAACTCCGCGGTTGGGTCGTTTATCATTGCCGAACTGCACACCAAGCAGTACCGTAGTGCTATTCGGTTCTTCAGAAACTTCATCGAAACATCACCAAGCCAAGAGGAACTTTACCTTGTTGCGGATGCCTTAGTTGAGTCGGCGCTCGAACGGAAACAATTTACCAAAGTTGAACAGGTCTTGATTGAGGTGGCAAAATTGACCAAAAGGGACCATTTTATGAAGTCGAATAACTGGCTTCAGAAGCTGCTTGGCACCGAATGGCGCAGAAAACGGAATATTCGCGAAACTCAAGAGAGATTTGATCGCCTCAAAACTGTGATACCAGTAATATGTCGTCCACAAGCTGCTTATGCCGTCATCATACAATTATGTGTCGAGGCAGGAGATTTTGTAGCCGCTGGAAATTACCACGAACAGCTCAACCAGATAAGTGGACCATGTGAAGACGACATCCTCATTCGTGGTCAAATCGCTCGCGGAAAGGCGATGTGTGAAGAGTGGGACGATGTCAAGAGTAGTTTCGCCGAAATGGCAAAACTCAAACCTAATAACAGAGTCTACGGTGATATCTTCCCACCAATACTTAAATTGTTTGCCAAATCACATTCCCTGGCTGAGACGGAGGATTTTCTTCAATGTTTTCTTCAGCAGTATCAAGTACCTTTGACTCCTTATGCTTCCAATATCATGATCGGCGAATATGCGAAAGCCAAAGAGCTTCAATCCATTATTCGTTGGATAGAATACGCAACCTCTGTTTCCACATTTCTTGACGCCGATTCGTTTAATACTATCCTGAGCCAGCTTTACAAGACGTGGGGATTCAACTTCGAAGAAGTATATCAAGTACATCGTGTAATGTTAAGATCCTCCGTGGACTATACAAATGATTCCACGCTGGCGTATCTGCGTCAACTTGCTCTCAAGGATTCGAAAGGGATACAAGAAGTTGCTACTAGGAAGTTGAGGGCTTTGCCCAGCGCGACTAGAGCTATAAAAGATGATAATTACCCTCGTAGGCAGATTTTCGAAGAATCTGAGAAGGGTAATTTTAAAAATGTCGTAGACATATATGAAGACGCTTGCAAGAAGGGGGTTTACATCCATAGCTCGGTTCTAGCAGCCACAGTGAAAGCTTTGTTGCATTTGAATGATGGCGACTCTTACATGGCTCTCCAGCTGATTAGAGATGCGAAACTAAAAGGTTACTCTTTGGATGATGCTCTCATTACGATTCTTACTCACCGACTACCAAAGTTCATGGAGTCCGCCGGAAGCAGTCGATTAATCAAGTTCTTGACTTCCGCCAGAGAAGCAATTGCCAAGGCGCAGGAGTATGGAATTACTGTCCCACAATATGTGTTCAATGAGGTCACCAATATCCTCGTCCAGAATGGATATTTTCAAGACGCAATAGCGTTCTGGGCAGAAATGTCGCGGACATATAGCGCAACAGTTCGACCTGATGTGGTCAGTCTTACCATCCTTCTCAAGGCTTATATTGGCATCAAAGAATCCAGTGGCATTATCTGGATCACGAAGATGTTATCCGTTAATCAAATTGTACCGGACGCGCGAATGAAACAGATACTGAAAAACACACGGACAATATTGCGGAAAGAGAAGCTCAGTTCTAGACTGTCTTCATTCCTCCAGGTTATAGAAGAAGCATTTTTGATTTATGCGATGATACGAGGAGAAGATCAGAAGGACAGAAAGGATGCTAGAGGCAAAACTCTTGAAATCATGGATAGAGCTCTTGATGCTCAGAGATCAGTCTCGGAACAAGATATCACTCCCGAAACACAAGAGATTGATAACTGGGACGAATTTGACGATGAAAGTACGAATTTGGCCGAGTCAAACCAAGATGATGAGGAATTAATAGCTGAAAGCTCGTTTTGAGAATTTAAGAGAGTGTTTGTATAGATATGTGTATATGATTTGTCAAGTAGATTGAGTACATAGATTTTGAATTACAGAAGATATTCTGCTTTTTTGTCAAGGATTAGACACTTCCTCCCCTCTCATCCTGCACCTACGTGATAACAAATATAATATTCGCGCTTCGAGAGGTGATATAAATACAAGTCATAATTGTCTATACCTCAGAGACAAATATCAATACACTATCCCTTGTATCCATAAAATTTTGAAATAGCTCACTCTAATCAAACCATTATATTACAGTATCAGTGTTTTCGTCCCGCCAACCGACCCCCTCTAAATTTTCAATTTTCAATTTTCTTTCCCCCTCCTTCCCCATCATCTCCCATGGTACGGTAAGCGAGCGAACCCCTCAACAACCTTATTATATCACATCATCCTAGAACCTTGCCTTGCCTTAGAACATCATCACTTCCGAAGCCATCCTGGATACCTAGGTATATTCCGAGCTTTCTTTCACACACGAGCAGGTAGCAGGTAGCGGGTCCGTATATCGATGTTGGTGCAGCCAGCATGTCGATTGTTGCAGAGTAAGTGGTCCTATCTTTTCTATGGTGGTTTGGAGAGATGCTTTGTTTTTTTGAGGGTTTGTTTTACGCTTTTCTGGGGGTTTGTTGGTGGGATGGAGGGTGGATATTATTTCCTCGAGACTGTGCTTGGTATAGCTTGTTGGACTAATGCCTTAGCTATTCGTTGAATTAAAGTTTCTAATGCTCGTTGATTCAACTTTGCATACAAAATTACAAATCACTAACAGCATTTGCTATATAGCCAAATTCGAAAAGTCGACGCCCAACTCGATCGCGTCCAGCTCGCACCCTTTCCCTATTCCGCAGACGACAACCTTCTCTCGGCTCAACATGCCAAAGTCGCTGCTTCGACGCGCATAGCAGATTTACAAGCTCTAGTAAAGGCACTGAGTACGTCGTCGAGTTCTAGCGCGTTGCTTTCGGGTGGCAGGATCAGTAGACTGCTAGAGCAGGCTGATTTGAGGGAATCTGTGCATGCGGAGGAAAACGAGGATGAGGATGAAGATGAAGATGAGGAAGACGAGGAAGGAAAATATAGAAATAGTAGAGCAGGTGTCAATGCTTATTTGAGGGGCTACGAAAGGGAATTGGAGTGGTTGTTGGTCAGCAAGGCGACGGTGCAGACGTATGGATTGATATTGAATACTTTGTTGGAGCAAACGATCCCGCTGAGTGATGATATTTGGTACTGGGATGAAGTGCTCGGCTCATACGCATACACGGGGCTATACACTGTGCAAACTTCGCCGCAGAGGTTATGGGATTGGGGAAAGGATATTTACAGTGATTCGAGGGAGCGATTGGTGCATTTGAGGGAAGCGCCTGGGAGTGCGGTTAGGAAGGGTGGGAGGGATGTGAGGGAGGGGGTTGCGGTGCAATGGAGTGTCTTTTATGGGTTGGTTAGGGAGAGTATCAGGGAGAGGAGCGTGGTGGAGGTGCAAAAAAGAGTGATGAGTCCAGTTGCAGTGGGGAGAGCAAAGGCCAAGATGAATCAGGCGAGGTTAAAGAGGTTTAGGGAGATGGGGGCTAGTGGATTGGGGGTTTTGATGGACGAAGCATTAAGTTTTGATATCGATGAAGAGGGTGCGGGCTTAAAGGTCGAAGAGTCAGAAAACTCTGAATGGAAAGACGTGGTGGAGAGGAGTGTGGCGCTGATGGATAACGTGCTTCGAAATGTTACGGCGCTCGAACAGGGAGTTTCGGATTTCGAGGATACTGTGTTTGCCAGTGTGGAGGATGATCCGGAGATTTCGAGTGCGGATGTTACACAGGCAACGAGGACGAGCAAAGTATCCCGGAGGCTACAATACATTCTCTCTAAGCATGTTCCAAGGCATATCACGAGTTCACGGAAACTTGTCTCGGAATATGGACGACCTTCAAAACTTGTCCGATATTGGCTACCGGCGAGCATGTTGTTACTCTCTTCTTCCACCATACTGCGGATCTTGGTAAACAGAAAGGCGGAGATAGTGACATGGATCAGAGAACTTGGGTCTACTATCCAAGACTTTTGGATGAACTGGGTAGTCGAACCCACAAAGAAAGTCATTGGGACCATTCGTCATGACAAAGATAGTGAAGTAGCCATTATGAGCAAAGAGAGTCTCAAAGGTGATATGGAAAGCTTGGAACGAATGGTGGTGGATTTCGCTCGCGATAACCCCGAAGCCGCAAATTATGGAGTTGGAGCTTTAACTGATTCTCAAATCTCCGAAATCAAAGCTAAAGTCAAGGCAGGTGATCTCACCCCTGTTCTTCGCGCTTATGAAAAGGATATGCAGCGTCCATTTGTAGGAACAGTCAGAGGAGATCTGATTAGAACGGTTTTGATTCAGGTGCAGAAAACCAAAGTCGACGTAGAGGTTGCGCTTAGTGGCATTGATGCGCTGCTCAAGAGTCAAGAGCTTGTCTTTGGCTTTGTGGGTCTCACGCCTGGTGTCATGGTCTGTTTTGCTGCTTTCAGGTATTTCGGAACTTTGCTCGGCTCACGCAAGGGTCTTCAAAGAGGTGAAAGGGCTGGGAGAACTGCAAGAGTTCTGAGGAATATCGATCGAATCCTAACGATTGCTACGCCTACGCAAAATAACCTACTATCATATAAAGATCACGGGTTACTTCTGTGCGAAGTCCATGTAATGAGGAAGAGAGCTCATAACTTGTTTCCTGGGGATGTGGAGAGGGAGTTTTTGGAGGATGTGGGAGATCTTTGTAATATCAATAGTGGCATTCAGGTGCAGCTTAAAGTTTTGGAGAGGATTAGGTGGAGCTATGGGAAATACTTGAGATAGGACTAGGACTCGAGAGAAGGGAAGGGAAGGTAACGAGCGGACGGACTTGGGGGTGTACAGTACAGGACCGAAAGGACATATGCATAGCGAGTGATATTGATATTGATATTGATATTAGACGAAGGGATGAGATAAAGAAATAATGAAATTATGGTCGCAAGGTTGAGGAATTCCAAATTATAATGCTAGGTAATAAGTCCTTACAGGCTCTGATACTCGAGTGAAGGTGGGTGCACAGTAAAGTTACTTATTCGTATATTGGAAACGCTTCCAGATACAACACTGTTGATATGAATGAGGTTGCTTTCAATGTAGTAAGTAAACTTGGAATACAATAAGTGTTGATGAATACCAGAGAGATTGGGCAATGCTGAAGATATAACACCAGTATTTTACTTTGATACATTTTCAAAAAATCCCCCCTTGTACCTGACAAGATCTTGAACATGTACATTGGCCAATAGACGCCATCTTACCGCCAAATTTAGTAGGCGCAGCATGCTCGTTTAACGATATAGACATAGAGTACTGATAATACCGTACTTGCCTAGCCAAATCTGTTGAATTTACAATCTTGACCGGAACTTCTAAATCCCGCCCTGATACAGTCAGTACCTAGTAGTTTATCAGGAAAGAACCTCACGATTGCTTTATTACATTAATTATATCCTGTTTGTAATGAATCATAACCTCTGCATACAAATACACGAAGAAAAGCATTCACGACATTGGCAGAAGGAAAGCAGTGCCGTCTTAAGTGAATTTTGATCCTCCAAACGAGCTTCCCGAAGATCGATATCTCGATATCTCGTATCACCATTACTTGTGAACTTCATCCTCCTTCCCTGTCCCTCCCTTCCTCCCTCCCTCCTCGATATCAACCAAACCAACCAACAACAACACCCTACCCTTACAAGACGATAAACAAAGTACCTACCTAGTACTTACGACCCACAGGCACCCTGCACCCCACACACACTTTCCAGCGATCTTATTACGGTAGACAACTTTCATGAGGTGCTAGATTTACGGAGCCGGAATTTAAGAACTAAGGACACGGACAAAGTGATCAGATCTTGTGGGATTTGACAACGCCGCACCAACAAGGCTATCCAAATATACCACAGACTTGTACTTGAGCCCAATACTCGAGTGCGACTGATACAAGATGGCCGGGACGAGGAATTACGATTTTTTGGTACGTTTGTTTGTTGGTTTGTCGGTGTTGTTTACCATCTGTGATCTAATCTATCCATCTATCTATCTCTGCCTCTCCACTTCCCCTATTCTATTCTCCCACTTCCAACCTCGAATACATACAATATACTAACGTCGTGGTCTCTGCAAACAGATTAAACTCCTGTTGATAGGCGACTCTGGTGTGGGAAAATCATGCTGTCTCTTGCGTTTCAGCGAGGATAGTTTCACGCCTTCGTTCATCACTACTATTGGAATTGATTTCAAGATTCGTACAATTGAGCTGGATGGCAAGAGGGTGAAGTTGCAGATTTGGGATACGGCGGGTCAGGAAAGGTTTAGGACGATTACCACGGCGTATTATAGGGGGGCTATGGGAATTTTGCTCGTTTATGATGTTACGGATGAGAGGTCTTTTACTAGTAGGTCTTGCTTTTTTGTTTGTGGCTCGTTGGGGTTTCGGAATGGGGCTTAGGAGGGCAGACGATGGCATGGGGTGAGATATGAAGATTGGAGGAGGCAAAGGGGATGGAGGCTGTGCTGCTGTCGTAAAGGGGGGATGAAACGAAATAGCAGATGGGAGTGCAAGTCTTCACAGGAATCTCACTAACAGTCCACGTCTAGATATCCGCACCTGGTTTAGCAACGTTGAACAACATGCCACCGAAGGCGTAAACAAGATCCTCATCGGCAACAAGTGCGATTGGGAAGACAAACGTGTTGTATCGACCGAACGCGGCCAACAATTAGCTGATGAGCTTGGCATTCCTTTCCTTGAGGTCTCTGCCAAGAGCAACATTAATGTGGAGAAAGCATTCTACAGTTTGGCAGCGGATATCAAGAAGAGAATCGTGGATACGAGTAAAATAGATCAGGCGGCGCAGCAAGGTGTAGATGTTGGTGGCCAGTCTAGTGGTAGCGGGAGCAAGTGTTGTTAGAGGGGCTGGAGTTGAAATGCGTGGGTGGGTGCTAGAAGGGATAGACGATGGAATGTGATGTGCTAGAGAAGGATGGATTCAGGAGAACAGAGGCAGGAAACACTTTTATGATGAATAGAGAGGAGAGGAAATGAGAGGATTGATATGTGCATGGACTGAACTGGACGACGCATGGTGCAAGAAAAGGCAAGGCAAGGCAAGGCAAGACAAGGCAAGACAAGACAATGGTGGTGGTGCTTTACGTCTACCATGCTTGTTTATTTGTTTAGGAGAGCAGTTTATGGTAGCTGGAGTTGGGTGAAATGCGTATTTTATATGGTATTAAATTGATTGGCGTGTTTTCTTTTTTCTTCTTCTGATTCTGCTACCTTATTCCTCGTCCCCCTCGTTTTGTTTAAGAAGTTCATACATACATAGTGAGTAATTCATGTTATGTTTATGATATGTTAGTGAAATGAGAGAAGGAAAGGAAAGGAGATGATGAAGATGATGGGGATGAGGATGAGGATGAGAATATGCTACAGTATAGTATGTGTATGCATAGAGTGTCCTGGGACCTGGATAGTGTTCAGGCTGTATCCTTACGTTGTAAGTCATATATCTATCTGTCTAGGTATCTATCTAAGTATCTATTCTAGTAGAGTTTGAAATATATACGGTTTGTTTGTTACATTCTACCATCCTACCATTCCACCATCCTACCATTCCACCAAAGGATGTTCTCTCAGAGAAGTGTTCCTCTTATACAGTACCATGATTGAATTGCACCATCTCTCTCTTTTTCATACAGGACAGGATACAAAAGTAATTTCTTCTAAATTTCCATCTACCCTACCATACAATCTCCGCATTAGCAATAGGAGGCGGTTCATCCCCATCCTTATATATCCTCTGTAATGGACAGGGTCGCTTATGCCACTCCCTCACGAATCGTCTCGCCTCGGCTCGGTCCATGAATGATAATATGTATCGTCCACTCATGTTGTATACCTTCTTCTTTCCAATGCCATTTTCGCCATGATATCCCAGTTGTTGCCCGGGTTTCATGTCGGCTTTTTCTCCAATACGCACGATGGCTCCTTCGCGGGCGAAGCGCCAGAGCAAGTTGCGCCGTTTTCCGTCAGCGTCGAGAATCTCGCGCAGGCCCCAGGAACTGAGGCCGATGGAGGGGATGTTGAGTGTGAAGAGGACGGTGTCTTGCGCGTGCGATTGGGAGCGCGAGAGTGTGAGGGAGGTGGGGGAGCCGGTGGTTAGCAGCATGTATATGGCGGGGCGGTAGGGCTTTTGGAGTAGTCGGAGGGAGAGTCGTGTGTAAGGGGGAACGAGAGAGAAGTTGTGGAGCAGAGATTGGAGTTCCTTGGTGGAGTGTGGGAGGGGGGCGCGGTGGGAGGTTCGCGCGGCGGACATGGGGATGATGTTTGGGGCGTGGGATCGCGAGAGTGTGTGTAGTTCGATGGTTCGGTGGAAGTAGGCGAGGGCTGCGGCGCGCGAACTGAAGAGTATGAAGTAGTGGCCGAGGGATTGAAGGGTTTGGGGGTCTCGGCCGGGGATTACTGGGGATGGGGGGTTAGCTGTGTTTTTTTTGTATGTCTCTCTTTCTTTTTGGGTGGGAGATAGAGGGTAGCATACTCTTAATAATCCCACTAGTCCATCCTTCGATATGTTCACCCCTCGGACTCAACCTATAGAAATCACTCTCCTCCAACGTCTTACTCGCACAATTTAAAATCAACACACTAGCCTCCCGTCTCTGCTGCGCATCTTCTGCTTCCCACCCCCTCTCCTTCCCCACAATATTCCAATCCTTCCTCTCCTTCTCCGCCGCCCGTCGCTGCACTTCTTCCTCGTCGAAGATCTCAATATTGGACATCCAGTCAAACGTTGGCAGTTTGGGAAATCTCAATGGGGGACGAGGTTTAAGGCGTGCAGAGCGAGGTTTGGAGGGGGGAAGTCGTTCTTCGGGGAACAGCTCTTCGAATAGTGAGGTGGGGGGTGTGATGGGGGGTGTGATGTCTATGCGTCGCGATCCAAAGAGTGATTCACCGCGTGGTTTGGGGGGCTCGCCGTCTCGGTTGCGGATCCGCGTTTTTTGGTATATGTGGCGGCGTTGGGAGAGGAGTGAAAGTTGCCGGGTGGTCCATGATGGGAGGAGAAATGAGGGGGGGAGGGATCGCGTGGGTGGCATTGGGAGGTGTGTGGGTTTGGGTATGGGTTTGTAGGAGGGGCCAAGGCTGAAGGGGATGGGGAAAATTAATTGGACCTTGCCGCCCTACGGAGGTATTTCGTCTCACCGCCTTGACATCCAAACATTACTTGCTCTGTACGAGATAAGCCAGCCGCACACCAAAGATTTTTATTTCTTTCAGATTAGAGTATCTAATTGTTAAACCTGGATTGGTGCACTAACGAGTGGGATAAGACATATAAGCTTAAGAGACTATTTGATTGTTACATTTTAATTGGGATATTGATTAATATTATAATAATTTCGATATAAGGCATAATAGCCTGGTTGGTGGCCCTGGTGGCAGAATTAAAGCGGTGAGACATACCCAGGGCATGGTTATTCCTTGTTAGACAAGGCTGATGAAATAATTTTATCTAGTTTCTTCGCTGATGATTCTTTTCTCATCATAATTCTGATTCTCGGTGTTCCCTCCTTCCATTGATATACTTTTCCTCTCGATAGTATTTAATCGAGAGAGATATGTCATCAGATAATCAAGGAAGGGTTCTGGAGCTGAAAATTAGGCCCTATCCGGCACAATCGCAAGAAAGACCCGATTTTAGAGGCGTAGCGCGTGTACTCGTCTGCACAACTGTTCTACTAGATCTTCAAGTTCAACCTGGACAGACTTGCTTTTTGTGGAAGAAATCTGAAGGGGAAGAGACTAGAAGAGAAGCGATTGTTTGGCCGACCTCTGAGAGGAATTTAAGTCGAAATGTCGTGCAAGTCAGCAAGGCATTTCAAGAGGCATGCGGCTTCAAATTGAGTGACGAGATGTTGGTTGCTGGAGGAGGAGAGTTGGACGTTGCAAAGGAGATTCTGGTCGAGGATGTTGGCATGACCGAAGGGGGTTTGCCGGAGTTGAAGGGAGAAGCCAAGATTTGTTGGAGGTTTGTTTTGAAAGATCTTTTGGGTAGGTACTTTTTCTGTTGATTCCTTACTGTAATTTTCTATTCTCAAGAGTTTGAGGATAATTGATAGCATGTCTTTATTATGGGCTTAGTGCATAGCTGACGATATTGCAGCTCGCGCTGAAGTGATTTACCCTGGCATGACATTCAGAGATGTGTTGCTCACAAGAGAAAAGCGAACCTTTACAGTTCTTTCTATCGATGGCTCGAAATCTGGTGTTGCTAGTTATCATGATGAAGTATCATCTCCGAATATTGCAACGATTGCAGAACTCGGTAGAGCCAAAGTATCGACTGCAAGTAATGTTGAGCATAAGCCTCTTCGCGTCGTTGATATTGCCGGCATCGATCAGGCTCTTGAAAAATTGAACGATTTCCTGAACGATTTCAATCGTGAATTTGACTTCAAAGCTTGTAGATCACCTGCAGTTCTTCTACATGGTGGAAGCGGAACGGGCAAGACGTTCGTACTGAAGAAGATTGCCGATACAAAATGGGGAAAAGTTCGCAAAATCGATATTAGAACCAAACCTTCGGAAGTTCCAAAGATTTTCAAAGATTCAAAGATCAACCAGCCAAGTATTATAGTCATAGATGATCTTGAATCTGTGGTTGTAAAGGGTGATGAACCATTGCGAGAAATTACAAAAGCTATTTGTGAGGGATTGGAAGATCTTCTTGAAGATCACCCTCCAAATTCTTTACCACGAGTTCTGGTGGCAGCGGCGACATCTGATATTCTTAAAATACCGGCTTCATTACTAAAGCGAGGTATGTTTACCACAGCTATTGCTCTACCGATCCCAGATACAGCTGCCAGGAAAGCTATCCTCAAGTATATGGAGCCGCAAATGCGCCCTGAGACCCGTGATGAGATTCTCAATGGTGTTGGAGAACGAACACATGCATATACCCCGGAAGATCTCGCCCGTTTAGTAGATAGAGCAGCCATGCTTGCACAAAAGAGGAAGGATGTCAAAGGGAACTCGACTGAGCAAAAGTTTGTCATTAAGGAGGATATCGAGCATGCACTCCTGGAGATAAGGCCAAGTGCAATGCATGATATTACTTTGCGACCACCCCGGGTTTTGTGGAGTGACATCGGAGGACAAGATAATGTCAAAGAATCCATACAGCTCGCCATCGAGACACCTTTACGCGTAAGTTCTTTCCTACCTTGAGGTTTTACGCTCTTAATTCAAAGTACTAACAATATCTCAGGACCAAGAAAGCATGCAAGAGTTCGGCCGTTCCCCAACCAAAGGTATCCTTCTCTACGGGCCCCCTGGATGTGCTAAAACACTCATCGCCCAAGCCATTGCCACCGAAATGGACCTCAACTTCTTTGCTGTCAAAGGCGCCGAACTCCTCTCCAAATACGTCGGTGACTCCGAACGAGCTGTTCGAAATATATTTGCCCGTGCACGCGCCGCAGCTCCAAGTATCATCTTCTTTGATGAATTCGAATCGATTGGTGGGACAAGAGATGGTAGAAGTTCGAATAATGGGATTAATGTTGTTACCACTCTACTCAACGAAATGGATGGATTTGAGAGTCTAAGGGGCGTTACTGTACTCGCAGCAACCAACAAACCACAAGATCTCGACTTGGCACTTCTTCGTCCAGGTCGATTCGACGAACTCATATACATCGGATTACCAGATCTCGCTGGTCGCGAAGCGATCCTACGTCATCGACAGACCGAATTCACAATGGACAAAGATGTAGATATAGCCGAGCTGGCTCTTCTCACAGAAGGATATTCTGGCGCGGAAATGGTCAGTATATGCGAGAGGGGATTTGATGCAGCGATGGAGAGACGTAGAAAGAACGGGACGAAGGAACCGGCGGTGATGGATGACTTTCTTGTGGCGATTAGCATGGTTAAAATGCAGACAACAAGGAAGGTGGTGCAAGAATTTGAGGGTTGGAGATCGGTGACTGGTATTCCAATTAGAGGTCCGAAGGTCGAGGTGGTTTAGTGGGGGCGGTACGTGAGTTATGGCTTTCCTACCATGAGGTGGTGCGAGATTTTCTTGGGAGTCCAAGATGATATGGTTAAGATATAGATTACTAGAGGGGTGATTGATGTGATGCAAGATTTTAAGAGATAGATATAGAGACCGAGTATCCCAATTCGAACGAACATTAGAGATTTCAGATTTGCGAGTTTGGTAGGGCTGTATATATGCAGTATATGTATCACTTGCAGGATATCCATAGCATAGAGACTAATTAGGTAAAGTTTTCCTCCTATCTAGCATGTATGCCATTAGTATAGTTTAGCTTGGCTAGTAACCCACTCATATATACATAGAAATACTGTCTGAAATATTGGGGATGGAAAAATCTGCCCGGGTATGGATGAGTTTGTACGAATGAGTATGTAAGATTAGTGTGAACATGAGGGGGGAATATGGATATGGATATGGATATGAAGGCTTGAGTCAAGATGAATGAAAGGATGGATATTTGATTCAAAATGAACTTACTTATGACTACAGGAGAGTAGGAGAGTAATAGTAATAGTAGGAGATTGCGTGCGTGCGTGAGTGAGCATTCGAATTCGGATTCGAAGATTTGTGTACAGGATTCATATTTATTTATCAAGGAAGTTAAGAAGTTTGTGTCAGGGTTTATATGATTTATATAGTAATTATCTCGGTATAACCCTTATGGTTTTACTTTATTGTGTATGCTAGGTGTATATGCGAGTATAATATGTTGTTGGGGAATAAAACTGGAACTACAAGTAGACTGTAGTTCTTTGAGAGTATTATGTAAAGTGTTTTGTATGTATGTAGTGTGGAATTGTATGAGAAGAGTAGAGTTTGAGTAGAGTTTGAGTATGAGTATGAGTACATGCAGTGTAGAAGATTAACTACTCGAGTGTACGAGTATGGATGGAAGATGATTGAATTATCGAATGAATGGGATTTTGTTAAGGTTATTTGTTTATCTTATATTTTGGGGGGAAGGATAAGAGGAGAGAGGAGTAGGGATAAGAAGGATGAGGAGGAGGAGAAAAAGAAGAAGAGATAGTGATGGTTGGGACTGAATATTGCTCTTTACACATTGTTGCGGTAATGGTAGTGATAATAAGCGAGGGGGGTTTATTTAGGGATAGGGATAGGGATAGAGGTTGAGGGTGAGATAGAGATTGAAGTTAAAGTTAAAAAGGATCTTGCATTAAGGAATAACAAATACCCGCATCGATAACCCTATCTATCAAGAGTATAAAGAACTGAAAAGCCAGACTAAAAATTTCAAAATCATATCATGGCACCGGCGATTATTGAAGGAGAGGGAGAAGAACTAGGGTTTGGAATGGCGAGGAGAAGTATCTGTTCTGTTCTGTTATGGAGGAGAGGAAAAGAGGAAAAGAGGAAACCGTTTAGAGAAATGGGGACGAGATGGAGAGAGTTTTGAGGGATCTGGGTATGTTTTCTTGGGGAAGGGGGGGTTGTATTTTACTATTTGTGAGAGTTGGGATTTATATTTATATTGATACTGATACTGATACCAATATGATAGGAACCACAAAAGCAAATGAAGCAGCATCAATACGAGTAGCAGCACCCAATAAAACTTCAAAAGACAATTAATTATACCATGCAGCTCGAAACAAACATCTCACCGTTCATCTCTCTTCCCTCTTCCCATCTTCCCTCTTCGACGTGCATTTTGTTGTTGCAGCCAGAAGATGGAAGGAAGGATATAAAAAGAGGATACGGTATTAGGAGAATCTATGATATGATGGAAGTATCTTCTGAGAGAAAAGAAATCTTAATGGTGAATAAATAGCTTTTTCTTTCTTTGCTCTCGAGGTCTTTAGTTGTCATGGGAAAGATTGCGAAAGCTAGTTTTGGACTGGTGGAATGAAGTGCTTATATTGACTTCGTTTGGAGCAAGCTATTGCTTGCTTTTTTGTATGTTCAAATGTATGAATACTGTGTTCATAGTAATAGATTACTTGCAAAAGTGATTTAGAGATCAAATATCTTCATTCTCATTCTCATTCTCATTCTCGTTCTCAGGCTTGTTCTCCTCTCTTTTCTCTTTTTCCTCCCTCGTCCTCGTCCTCATTCCATTCTCTTCTTTCCACTTTAGTAATACGGAAGATTCCATTACCATTTCAGGTTTCTTCCCAGCTTTCATTTCCCTATTCGACTGTCTTCTCAGCTTTTCTTTACTGTACTTATTCAACATAGGTGGTTCTGGCATTCTTGAGACGGGTAAATTAGTATTTATTTACTGAGAAAAGAAAGGATGGGATGGACGGGGGATTTGTAGTAAAGATGATGACTTCGGCAGTTTGGACTGGAGCTAGGAGCTAGGAGCTAGGAAATAGAATTAACATGTATACGAGTACATAAACTAGGAAACATATTCAGATATAACCAAATGTAACATCAAAAGTGAAAAGTAAGAAATAATAAAATAAAGAAACTACTATATAATACGTACTTGTTCAAAGTCCGAAAATTATTTATTATGAGTGGAATATTCTCATTATTCACAGAAGAGGTATGGGTATGGGTATGAGAGGCAGAAGAGGCAGAAGGGACAGAAGGGGGATATTTCGTGCTCTGAATCATTTCGTCAAATACTTTGAAGAGAGGGAATTGATCTTGGGGGGGAACACTTCTTTCATGGTGAGAGGGGGCGAGGAGATCGCAGTATTTGGCCATGAGGATATCGGTATCGGTTAGGCCGGGAGGGTCATGCGTGGTCCAGCGGATAAATAGGATGTTGTAGATCTGTGGGAGGCGGGGGAGGATGTTAGATGGGTGGATAAGGAGAAGAAGGGGGAGAAGGCGGAAGATTGAAATTGGATGGAGGCTTACGTTGCACCATTCTGGGTGATGTCTTTCAATTTTGCTCTTTGCTGCGACTTTTTTCATGAAGCGCTGTGGAGTTTTATGTTAGTTAGATCAGTGTTGCTGTTCTGATATTTACTCTCTCTAGGGATTGGAGGTAGATATGTGGAAGAGTTGCGTATGTCAGAGTTTTTCCTGAGGAAAGGGACTCAGAGATCGAGCAGATGATACTTATCATCCTTAACCCCCTCTTCACTCAATACTAGAGCCTTCTCAAAGACCCCCTCAACATATCCCCAAACTCATATCTCCAGATAGAGGGATTCAAGCCAAAGGAATACAAAAAAAAACTAACCCAAGTATTGTCAAACCCCTTAAACTTAAAAATCCTCTCCAACCCCAACCCATTCGCCGTCAAAAGCCAATTGCCGCCATGTTCCATCAGCAGGGGTTTAATTAATTGCTGTAATCTGAAATCGTAGACTTGGACAGAAGAGGATTCCTTTCTAAGACAAGTCTTCACATAGTATAAATCTGAAGCGACAGTCTCTTTTAAAACGGTATTTTTTCCAATATGAGTCTTCCGAAAGTATAAATTTGAAGCGACCTTCTCTTCTGGAAGGAGGTTCTCTTTCGACAAGGGTGTTACTAATTTGACAGCACCGGGAGTACTGTCTATGGGAGAAGAGGGTTCGGATTCTGAAAGGGTTTTCTTATCCGAGACGGAATTTTCGTCTGGGAGAGTTGTGAGTTTGGGAAGTTGGAAGGCGCGTATTTGTACAAATCTTGAAGGTAAAGATTTCGAAAAAGGATTGCGGTGGTGTGAGAGGAGTGTGTGAGTTGTGAAGGGAGTAAATGAGGGGCGGAGAACAGAGCGGATAGAGGCCTTCATATTCATAGTTGCTCTGGGGAAGAGGGGAGAATGGAAGATTGGGTATGAGATAAGTCGGAGTGGAAGTGAGTTGGTTGGATGGGTCAAGAGATGAGGTTGCAAATTTAGGTCACATGACATGCTATATTCAAATTTCTTGTACAAAATTAGAAAATTGAGATTCTCTCTTCGCTCCAAAAGGATTGATTATATTGAACAAGATGGATGAATAGAATTCTTATACTATTTCAGCTTGATATGTCTTCATAAACCACAAAAATAAATCACATCCATCACATCACAGCCTATATATACAAAGCCTCAGAAACCTATGCGCCCCCAAATTCACTTCCAATTCACTCCAAATTCACCCACAAGATACAGAGAATCCCGAGATCCCTTAAACCAGGCGGTCGGAAAAACTGAGAAAACCCGAGCTTAAAGCCGGCTCCCGAAGGTCGATCGGAAGCGGCCGAATATCTATAATCTGATCCACAAACTTTGTATTGAGAAGCAAACATATCTGTCTAACAAGTTAACAACGTCTTTTACATAAAGAATCGTAGTTCTTTGAATTTAGATAGTTGTTTGTTATCTACATTTATTTATCTATTCATTTGATTTTGTTTTGGAGTTTTTGATCGGGGTTTTTGATCAATGCAAACAAACAACACATAATAGACAGATATTTCATACATCTATCCGACAAGACAAGGTTTCTTTCTAGAACACAAGAGCAGAAGAGAAATTTCAAAGCGAGAACCGAACAGAGAATAGAGGACAGAAGTGACGGCATCTACATCTACTTCCACCCCCAGCCCCAACCCCAACATGAGCAAATCAAATGAGAAAACCACCAATACTCCTCGAAGTCGACGACAAGTATTCACAGGAACTTTCATCCACAGCAAGAATCTGACGGAATTGGAGATTTTGCATAATACATACGTGTATGTGGATGAATATGGTGTTATTGTTAGGATTACGAGTTCTGATCTTGAGGGGAGAGAGGGAAGAGAGGGGATGCAGGAGGATATGAAGGAATTGGGCTGGGATAGGGAGGATGTGGAGTGTGAGATTCATGCATATTCTGGGGAGAAGTTTTATTTCCCGGGGTTTATTGGTAGGTTTTTCTTTTTCTTTTGTATTTCTGGGGATATCATACATACACATGATGTATATGTACATGTACAGCAAAAAGCATGACATACATACATATCACTCACCCCACACCCACACCTACAAACCCAACTAACAACCCCCCAGATACCCACATCCACGCGCCCCAATACCCCAACAGCGGACTCTTCGGCAGTTCCACCCTCCTAAACTGGCTCAACACCTACACCTTCCCACTCGAATCCTCTCTCTCCTCCCTCCCCAAAGCCAACACCATCTACAGCCGCATCATCCAACGCACTCTCTCCCACGGCACCACCACCGCCGCCTACTACGCCACGCTCCACGTAGCCGCTACCAATCTGCTCGCTGATCTCTGTTTACACCACGGTCAACGCGCTCTCATCGGAAGATGCTGCATGGATTCTTCTTCTGGCGCCAACCCCCCCTATTATCGCGATGAAAATGCTCAGCAGAGTCTCCAGCGAACCATGGATTGTATATCGCACTGCGAGAAAATCGATCCCGATCGAGCTCTCATAACCGCAATCCTAACCCCGCGCTTCGCACCCAGCTGTACGCGCGAACTCATGCTATCACTAGGAAAGCTTTCCCACGAAAAAAACCTCCCCATCCAAACGCACATATCGGAGAACCGAGCCGAAGTCTCCTGGGTACGGGAGTTATTTCCCGAGTGTGCGGACACGGGGTACGCGGGGGTTTATGATGCCTATGGATGTTTAACGCCACGCACGATACTGGCGCACGCGGTGCATGTTTCGGAGGGAGAGGTTAGGCTTATTAGGGAGAGGGGGAGTGGGATTGCGCATTGTCCGGTTTCGAATAGTGCGTTGAGGAGTGGGATGGCGGGGGTGAGGGGCTGGTTGGATGGGGGGGTTAAGGTGGGGTTGGGTACGGATGTTAGTGGGGGGTTTAGTGCGAGTGTGTTGGTGGCGGCGAGGGAGGCTAGTTGTGTTAGTAGGTGTGTGGCTGCGGGGGTGGGGGGTGTGGATGGAGAGGGGAGTGGGGGTGGGAGTGGGGGAAGGAAGGGTGAGGAGAGGGATGCGTTGAGTGTAGAGGAAGTGTTATATTTGGCGACGAGGGGAGGAGCGGAGGTAGTGGGGATGCAGGAGGTGATTGGTGGATTTGAGGTGGGGATGCAGTGGGATGCGCAATTAGTTGGACTGGGGAAACCGCTGATGAGGAAAAATGATGATGGGGATGGGGGGTGGGAGGATAATATTACGGAGGATAATATTAAAGAGGAAGTGGGTGCTGAGGATGTTGTAGGTGCGGAGGAAACAGGACCAGTAGATATATTCGGCTGGGAAACTTGGGAAGAGAAAATTGCAAAGTGGGTTTTTAACGGCGATGATAGGAATACGTTGAAGGTTTGGGTTAAGGGGAGATTGGTGCATCAGAGGAGGGGTGGTGTTGCTTTGTAATGGAATGCTCTGAATGCTCTGAATGGATTGAATGGATTGAGATGATTGAGATGATCATTGGGGTTTGGATAGTCGAAAATAGAAGATAGAAGATAGAAATTGTAAATTGTAAATTGGAGAATGGAAATTGAAATTTGAGTGTGAATGTAAATGTAAATGTAAATGTAAATGTACAGTAGATGTATATGTAATTAGATGATCTTACTTTTAAGATTGATAAATAAATAAATAGATTCTCTCATATAGAATATACTCATACATACTCAGTACATGAATACCCCCTTGAGAATATAAACTTTTGAACTTCTAACTAAAACATTATAATGAATGAATGTAATGCGGCCAACCAACATTCAATATCCTCACATGAGATAAACCTTCTAATACCTACCGGTATGCCCCTTAAATCTAACCATCATTAAAATGCAAATCCAAACGCCATCCCATATATGCATCGTTCATACCTCATACTTTCCCCCTAAACTTGACCCCCTCAACCCCTTGACATCCTACAATGTTATGCTTCCTCTCCTCTTCTCTCTCCTCCTCATCACTCTTTATAACTCCCATAACTCGCATACGCGCCATAAGCACCATAAGCGCCATACCCCGCACCAGCACCAACACTTACATCCTTCACATCCTTCTCCCCACAAAAATTACACTCGACCCCCGCCACCCCAAGAATCAACTCACTAGCCCTCTCCGCCGCCGCCATAACCGCAAACTGCGGATTAACCGTAACCGGCGCCAAAATACTCGCATCCACCACATGAACATTCCCCATCCCCATAACCGTCGTATTACTATCAACACAAGCTCCAAATCGACAACTGCTACTCCAATGATTAACCGTTCCACGCGCATAAGCCGAGGCCGTCGTGATATACGTTTCGATTTCGCCCCGTGTGGAATTTTGCGCAATGTTCATGGGTGTGAGGCCTGCGGAAGGCAGACCGCGGAAGATGTCGTAGATGAAGGTTGAGATGTCGAGGGCGTCGCGTGGATTCGAGTAGTAGATGTTGTCGGAGGGGCCGGGGATGAAGTTGGAGTCGAGGATGACGGAGCCGGTGGAGAGGAGTCCCGATGTTCCGTATATGTTGAGCGTGATGGTGTTGTCGTTGTTGAAATCCGAGTAGCCGGATGAATCGATGGTTCCTTGGACTCCGGTGATACTTCCGTCGTCGTGGGTGATGGTGGTCCAGAAGACGGATGTTTCGGACGCGAAGGTGTAGGGTCCGCTGCGGGAATCGAGGTAGAGGGCTGAATCGTTGGTAGGAGGTGATTCGTAGGAATAAATTTTTGATTCAAGGGAAGCGCTTTGGAGTTCGATGAATGTGTTTGGGTTATCGAATAGACCGGCTCCAATGGCTGTGGAGTTTATCCATTCGCCACTGGTGAGATTGGCGGATAATTTTCCGGCAGCAGATAGTTTGGAGAGGTTTTCTGCATCGCCGATTCCGGAGTACATGAGGAGTGAGGGACTTTGGACTGCTCCTCCTGATAATACTACTCTTCCGGTTGGCGTGACTGAAATGATGGTTTCGACACCGTTGATCATGGCTGTGACGCCGGTGGCGGTATCTCCATCTCTCTCAACACGTACTACGCGGACTCCGCTTTGGAGACGGAAATTGTTGCGTTGCAGAGCAGATTGGAGATAGGTAGTGACGGGACCACCTCTTTGCCCGTTGGAATAATCAAAGATGGGATAACCGAATACTTTCGTCTTATCATCGGCTTGAGCATTGATGTCAACGTCCTTGTAGCCCAATCCATCTACCAACCACTTTCTCGCAGCATCATATCCTGTTTGAAGATAGCGGATGCCGTCTCGAGATGTGAGATTAGTCGATGGTTGAGTATCATATAGACGTTGGATTGCACCATCCATGTTGGTAGAGTTCCACTAGATGTGGGGTTAGTACTTAGATATTGGAATGGCAATATTCGTAGATTGTTACATACCTCAGCAGGGAAGTATAGATCCCAATCCGAAGCCGGAGGCTCAAAGAATAGTCCAGCATTGATCGCCGAACTTCCTCCAATGGTACATCCTCCATAAGCATTTACTTCCGCTCCACATGTGAGGTTTCCTCCATCAGCGAAGATCGACTTGTAAAGTCCCGGTACATCAACTCTCGTGAGATTTGTGCCACTCAACCATTCCTATCAATTTCAAAAATTAGCAACCCATCACCAAGTTTCAAACTCCAAAGTCCATCCATTACTCACCGGTCTCCTAGAATCCAAATCCCCACCCGTAATTCCATATGAAAGTCCACCACCTTCAAGTAACAAAGTCTTAAGACCTGCTTCTGAAAGACGCGAAGCAACTGTGACACAACAATCAATAAGTGCATTCTTCCTTACACTTACACACAACTGGAGTACATGTACATACCAACGATACCAGCAGGACCAGCTCCCACAATTATAGCATCCCACTGCTCACTAATCCAGCTATCATCCACCGCACCCAAAACTCCACCTACCAATCCGGCAATAAGAGAAATACGATTTGAGATCTTCATGATGACTTTTGACTTATGATGACTTGATAGAAAACAAAACAAAACAAACCAACGACGAAGAGAACCACCTACCTTTATACAAATCACACATACCAGTACTCGTACTAGAGTCTGTACAATCAATACTTACTCAACTCATTAGTCCCTACTATACCTAGGTATTCTGCATAACCGGCCGGCTACACAGCTCAGCTCAGCTCAGCTCAGCTCAGCTCAGCCAAGCTAAGCTACTCAAGACTCAAGTGAACAAAAATCTCGATAAAATCACGAACTTTGCCATCCAAAATCCAAGATCCTTCCTCTCCGTCCTCTCAGCCAAGCCCGCCTATTGAAAGGAAAAGCCCCTAAAAGATCTTTCCTTCCGCAGACACCGCCGACAATTATCTCATATTGTATTTTCTAGGGTCCCTTTCCTAATATTCTAGTGGAATCGCCCCGCCCCATCATATACGAGGTTCTAGTTCTAGCTCCCCTTCTAAGTTTCTAGCTCGACACTACACGACACGATACGACAAGATATTCACCTGTTAAACCTCCTTTAACTCGAGTACAAATCATAACTGAAAGATTTGCAATTACTGTAAAATATTACTGTACTGTACTGTACTGTACTGATTACTAGTATGTAGTACATTACATACTGATGTCGTACAACTTACAACTTACAACTTACTTAAGCTGTATCACTTATCACAACCCATCCATCCATCCATCCATCCGACTTTGCCACAGGCCAGTGGCCACAGCTTCGAATTCCCTCCCAAGCCTTTTGTTTTTATGCATATACTGTAAATTTAAAGAACACAAATGAAGTCATTACCTTGTAAGCTTTTTCACTTTTTCGCTTTTTCGTATCCGCGGTCTACCTATCTTAGTGACTTCATGTGGCGGAGCACCCCCCTTCCTTCCTTCTATCCACCCCCCACTTGGTCCCTATCCTACGGTTCCTACCGTACCAGTACTCTGAGAGCCCGTTCGACGTCCAGTTACATATGGTCTGATTAGTAATACATAAGCAGGTATGCAAATAACGAATTTGCTATGAAATTTGCGCTAAATACGCTAATTCAGTCACTACCTCACAAAGGGGTAGAGTAGGTGTTCGATATCCAGATTTTGAATGAAATTTGAATGAAAATTTCCGGTAAATACCTTGTGTAACCTCAAAAGTGAGGCTATTCGCTTAATCATCGAAAATGAAGGGTTTAGAAATCCTTAATCTTCAATCTCCAATTGAATTACAGATATATATTAGAATTTGATAAAAATTACATTATTCGAAAGCTGATTATCAGAATTATTTGGTTATCAAACTTTCAAAAATAAAATATCAATACTAATGAAATTATGATTAAGTGAAGTTGAAAATCTTTCCAAATCTTTCATTTTGATGAAAATCTTCGAAAGTTCAAGTTAGTTTATTAATTCAAAAGTTAGGGTTCAAAAGTCAGTTTAGCTATATTGAACGTTTCTCTATAATCAAACCAGCTCTTGAACTGAATCTTGTGAATCTTTGTGAAGTGAATTTTTGGTAGTGAAAAAAATCTGTGCTTTATGTGCCTGCTCATAATATTAATATCTGAATAGAATCATATTCTGTTATTAATTTAGATATCGAACAGTGATCTAGAAGGGTGGATACGTATTTGCAAATCTTTTGGTTCCATAAATGAGATGATAAACTCTGTCAACTGGACGTCGAACAGGCTCTGAGTGGAAAGGGAATAGAAATACCTATAGAAATACCTAGGGTACCTACCTACCGACCGATACAATACAAGTACAGTACAATACAGTAGAATTTTCTATTACATTAATTCCTCAGCTTAAAATCAAAGTCTTTGAAGTTTAAACTTCAAAGACTTCACTTCATTTAGATTCTATTTCGTCTTTTCGGATACGAGTAGATACCAGACTACCAGTGGCTGTACTCGTATATAAAAAGTAGAAGGTTTGATTTGATTGATATTGGGACTATATTATTCAACCAATGAGAGGCAAGGTATATGTCGTACCTGATTATGCTTGCATAGTATGTACATGGATAACTCGAGTTACCAACAAAAGGGTAATGCCGAGTACGAGGTAGCGAGGTAAGTGGATGGATGGTAAAATTCGGAAAATCATCCGGAAAATCATCCGGAGCGACCGGTTTGTTGGGTACAATCTCCCATGCTCACTGCTCAGTGCTCACTACTGCTCACCGACTTATAAACTTACCTGGGTACATCCATGTGAGTTACCAATACATAAAAGTGAAGATCATCTATTTGTCTAATCTTGAAGACTTCCCAAACGCCGCCCAATGCAACCATCGTATTTTTGCTGTACATAATCCTACATTTCCCTTATCGTTCATGACCCTCTTATTTTCGCCCTCAATTCATACCATTATACAATCGATTCCTGATCCCGTTGCAAGTTGGAGCTTTCTAATCGCTTCAGGATATATTGGTATAAAACCAGCATACAACTACTTTGTGTGCTCGTCCATACAAATCTAGGTCCTACTCCGCGAAATAAGCCTGGTATTCCTTCCGTCTTGTAGATAAGTTTGAGGCCAGTTGGGACGGAAGATGTATCGAGAGTTATGCTACCGGGACGAGGGGTGTGCGTGGAGGGAGATGATGTGGATATCGATCGAGCCTGATGCTTCGTAGATTTTGTAGATGTTGGCTTCGTGCGGGTGGGTTTAGAAGAGGAATTCTTCGTAGTTTTTGAGGTCTGCTTAACAGTAGTTTCCGGGTCGGAATTGACTTGGGTTTGAATCCTTGTTTTCACGACATCAAGAGGACATGTAATTACTCCAGCCAGACCACCAGCTGCCGCTCCTGTGAGAAGTTCCAATGGCAACCCAATATCTCGGCTTCCCTTCCACCTTCTCGCCCAAGTCTGGTTTTGCTCGTAGAATGCGAATTGTAACGCCGAAAATGGCAGATCTCGAACAATTGTTGCTCTGTAACCGTAGAAGAGCGCCGAGAACCCCTCTTGCTTAACTATTGTTCGGGCAGCATGTGCTGTGTTTTTATAGTTGTAACCAGAATTGAAAAACGGATTATTGTATCGACCTTGGAGTTGTAGACGAGTTTTGAGGACTTCGGAAGGTACGTATACGAAGGAGGCTGCAAAGTCGGCGACAAAACCTGGAAGCATTAGAATGAATGTGAATTATACTTGGATATCTCGGACTTACCACTTGAGAGATAGGCAAACCATGGGGGGATGCCATTATCTATCAGATGCCTCTTACTGTACTCATATGTTCCAAAGAATATAATTGTGCCAGGGAAAGACCCTAGAAGAGCAGGAACCCAACCTCCATATAGTCCTCGCCGTATTCCTTCTTGCCTTAGAATTGTAGAATATGAGGACGACAAATTGTTATACTTTGGCGGGACATGCGGATCACCTTGTTGACGAGTTTTGACCGTATCCAAAGAGTGCATAAGCAGATCGCCCGTGGTTCCACCAATTCCCCCAGCAATCATGGCCTACAAACAATCAGTAATTTGCCTGTAGACCAAGAACCACAAATCTCACATGTAAATAAGACGGTCGTCCCTCCCCTTCGACCTCTTTGTGTGCCATAGTTTTCAACCCGAGTAGTCCTTTTCCCACTATAATATTGACGTCGTCTCCCCCTCCATCATCAACAATCCCGAATTTGGTACGATCTTCTGCGGGCGAACCTGCTGATCCGGAGGAGAACAGGTTGACAACACGAGAGGTCAGGGACATGGCCCTCCTCAATTTCAAAAGCTGGTCGCCTTCCTAGTCCCCAAAGTTACAGAATAGCGAGATTTCGTTACGGTGTTGGTAAGCAAATACAATTCATTGAGTTGGGTATCACAAGATGTTTTCTGATGCATTTCAACTTTTTTTGCCGGAACCTTCCACGTTTGTTGATGCCTGATCAATATCAAGGCATTTATTCAACGTGGGGTAATCCCATGTGAATTAATCCCCCGGTGAGCTTGTGTTACTGCCGCATAATTATAATGTGCCAAAGGTCTATTTTCTCCGGAAGTTATTAATAATTGTTCTTTTTTCATATTCGCACATCAGTGAAGTCACAACTAATGGCCAGTATATTCATCACAAGCTTGCACAATCACGATTGAAATGTCAATAGTTCTAGAGATCAAGGAGAGTATTGATAGTCCCTGGCGGGATGCTGTGCATGTTTTGAACACTAATATTTTCTTGTCATTTCATATGCATGTCTCATGATAATCATCGCCGATACCAATAAATGCTTGGTTGGGTATACCATCATCAATATCTGACACCAGAAACGCCCTGCTAAACACCATTGCAACCCCAGGCTTATAATGCAGCCCGCACTATATACTTGCTCTTCTCGGAGCCATCGTTCTCCTCAGTGCCTTCTTCTCCTCTGTCTCATCCACCAGAGGAAGAATACCTTGATCTCTCATCTTTGCTAAATATTCTTGTCCGAATTTGTACCCAACTTGGTAAATTTCATCAAATTTACCAAAGTCGAGAGTACCATATTCATCAATTGGAGGTCTCATGTAAAGACATCCCGGAGTTGTCTTTGCCCGTTCCAAAGCATCGACACTAGACACATAAGCCAAGCGTGCTTGTATTTCAGCCAAAGTGGGAGGATTTGGATAAGATGAGAATGGGTTCCACCGATTTGCAAATGCCCAAAATCCAGAAAGCGAGTCCCCAAAGTTCTGGGGCACATTATCATCGAGACTTCCAACATCGATAGCAAAAATGATATCAGCCCCCAAAGATTTCATGTGAGAAACCGTCAGGTTGTCCACATATCCACCATCTAACAACATACTTCCCTCATCGCATAGCGGTGGGAGAAGTCCAGCAAGAGACATGGATGCTCTTACGTACCGCCATGCATATCCACTGGTGTGAATCTCAGATCGACTTTTACTAATGTTTGTAGTGTTGCAGTAAAACTCGAGCCAGAAATCTTCAATCTGAGTATTTCCAAAAGTCTTAAAGATACCGCGATTGAATTCATGACCAGTAGTATAGGAAGCCGATGGATATGTCAAGTCCAGTGCGAAACGCCACATGCTTGCCATGCGACCCGAAAATTTCTTCGCGCGTCCATACATAGGGACTACGTCTGCGTCGCGAGCATATAGTGCGCCGATAAACGATCCAATGGAGGTTCCTCCTATAATGTCGATTGGAATCCCAGCTTCTTCCATAGCTCTAATAATCCCGACTTGAGATATACCACGTGCGCCACCTCCTCCGAGGACGAGACCGATAGACTTGCCACAAAGACGCCTGGCAATCCGATGAAAGTCACCTTTGAATGGAGTCTCTGCAGAGTAGAGTGGTGATTGTCGTACACGGCGAGATGTAAATTTTTGGATTTCTGCTTGAATTACTTGGACTCGCTGTTTCAGTGCAGTTCCGAATTTTCTTGTCTGAGAATGTACTGGGACGGCACTAGTTCTGAAATCCATCTGAACATGGTGGTGCCCGCCATTTATCCAGACTCGATTTCTGAGCCAGGAACGAGTCACACCCGGCGACGAGAACCGATCTGTGTGCAATAATACTAGTTCTTTTCTTGCTGTGGTTTTCATACCTAATAAGAAACGTTCGTACTCTCCAATCGCAGGCGAACCGTCTGCTATGCCTACTAGGAGAATGCAATCGGCCTGACTAATGCAGGTCTGAGTCCAAGGCGAGTTGACGTTTGTATCTGAAAATAGTGTTAGCAATGATCGCAAAGTGGTTACTTGAGAAATCTAATGAGGATTGGTTGGCAATCAAGGAAATTTGAAATACTGCTTTGAATCTTCATTCAAATACCTCAGAGCAAGAAAAGGACTCATCATTTTTCATGTCTCAAGCAGAACAAATCACTTACCAGCAATATATAATACCAAGCCGTACTTTTCCTCCAGATCGGCAAGGTATTGTGAGAGCTTGAGCTTTCCCATACGACTGAAAGCATGTCTGCCAAGATGGTTGAGAATTGCTGCTTGATTGAGAGAAGTCACGCCATTGGGCGCTCCGATTTGAGTCAAAGCATTCATTAGACGACTGCCAAATTCGACTACAGGTACTCCAGCAGTGACAGGAAGTACAGCAACGGTACGGAGGTTGACAGTCGAAGAGACCTTATCGTTTGTGGCAACAGTGACTTTTTCTTTAGTTTGTACAAAGACTGGTTCTTCTACCAAGGCTCGCATACGGGATGCAATAATCTTGGATATCTTGATCGTAATATTTGGGTGCTCTTGCGCAAGACTATTAAATAGCGTCTTGGGAAATTTGGCGAGTTCGGTGTCCCGAATTGCATGAAGTGTAGCAGGTCGTACTGATTCTGTCATGACTTCCAGTTCTCCAACACTTTCACCTTGTCCATACTCGCCAACGACTTTCATTCCAGCTTCGTCATTGTTGACTACAAGTCGAAGTCGGCCATTTAAGACGATATAAATTGCGTCACTATCATCACCTTGGTGGTAGATAACTTGGCCGGCATTCACCTGCACCCATTCAAGAGCAAAGTCTATGTGCAGGATCAACCTAGGCAACAGACTGGTGAGACGTTTAGCCATAGTCAGAAGTACGACCGGATACTTCTCAACAATTCTTTCCAACGATATTCGTGGTAAGAATCCTACATAAACATCTGTCTTTGCAACAACATCAATGAAGGAGCGATAAGAAGATATAGTACCGATGTAGCCTGCAATACCGCCTGGTTTTATAAGTGCCAAACTTTTTCGCCCTGCTGTCCTTCGCTTTTTACCCTCATGTCCTGGGACACCAAAAGTAGGTCCTGACGTACGCGATGAGACAGTTTTCGTCCTAGATAGTGAAGGCATTGGATCATTGGCATTCTTGTCGGTTGAAGAGTGTCGAAAAGGTTGACCTAGCACCATGGAATCGGAATTTTCATCGACAGGAACACTAACATCTAGGAAACCATCGATGACGTAATACAACCCAGGATTTCTCTCTCCTTGTTCCACAAGAACCGAGCCTTTGGGGAAGTAAACAATCTCCACTTCATCCTTGAGCTCTTGGGCGAGACCCTGCGTACTAGGATAGCCACCAGCACTGACTCCACCAGATGTCACTGATTCAGTGTCGTCCACAGATCCTTCGTAGGGGTAGATAAGGCCGAAGGCATTGCTCGTAAAAGAATTGCCAGTAAAAACTGCTTTTTGACGTTTCTGATCATACGATAACAACCGAGGCGAGCCTTCAACAGAATCTGACATACGTAATGCATTTTTAGTGTTCGTAAGACCAATAGCTTTAAAGATACACTCCAATATGGATTTCCTAAACATGCCATCTTCGTCGATTGACTCTTGGCGATGAAGAGGGACTCGTGCATTCATAGGACCATGAAATGGATTATTCGAGGTCCTCTGCGAAAGCGGACTTTGAGCATCATGATGCCACACTTGAGGGCTAGAATTTTGTTTCACGCTTGAAGCAGGTTTACGCCCACCATGACGTGACATCTGAATATTAGTAAGAAGATCCCCGGGGCTGGGACTGATGCCGGACTCTCCACCAGGTGCTTCGAAGGTTTGTTTGGACGTCGACATAGAACCTCTAACTGATGATGCATGCATTGTAGCTTCTTTTCTAAGGCTATGACTGGATCCTCGTCGTCGTCCAGCCCCAGCATTGTGCAAAGCAATACCTTTGCTACCTTCCTCGGGGCCAATCCTCTCCTTTTCACGGATGAACTTCTCCTTTAAACGCTTCAGTGCATCCCCGCGTAGGAAATTTGGTAATTCGTAAGTCGTGTACTTGTTCATGTGCTTTTCAGTGCGCAAAACCTCGCTAGTCAACCCAAGATAAGAATGACCAGTCGCAAGAGTGACTCTTTGTAATCTCGTTAAAATGACCTGAACAATGTGCGCTGTAGCCTTAGGATATACTCTGGTTAGTCGCCGGAAAGCGCTAGCAGGAATTATAGCGATAGTAGTGTCAACCGTAGCTCTGGCCACAATATCAGGGTGTACAGAGGTTGTGTTCATCCTCTTAGGCCTAGGTGGACGCGGGTAGATGTCGGCTGCAGCGTCCAATGACAACGGGGGTATTCTTCCGTTGGCAGTTGTCGTTGAAGCACGTCGATCCCTACCATCTCCTTGACCATCTTGACTAGGAGCCCCGTATATTGGGCTTGTGGGTAGTGATGGCGGAGCGTCATGGCTATTGCCATATTCGTGATGATCCGCATTACCATAAGGGGTACCAGAAGCACTTCCATCGAAATCATCGTCGTCAGAATGTCTCAATTTGACATCTTCGGTAAATAGCGAAAGAATAGAAAAGAGAGACGACATAGGTGCACCGTTCTTAACCTCCGTCAGTAACTGATAGCCTTGATGTCCACCACCTCGGTGAGGGCCAGATCCACTATCCGAATCCTCTTGTTCATACGACATGGGATCGGTATCAGATTCGCGTCCTTCCCGAGCCGATTTGACAAAAATTTCCACTAATCCATCAACCACCAGACAAAACCCCTTCTCCTCCTCAAGATTCAAGGTTTCACCAGCTATGAGCTTTCTTGTTTGCATTGAACGTGTGAGTTCGTGGAATACAGGGCGTTCCAAGTAACCAAAGATTTTGATGGCACTAAGAAACTCATCCAAGTAATTGGAGAACCCTGACTTTGATCCTTCTTCTTGTGTATCTGGATAGAGGTCTATCTGAGGCTCCTTTCGCTGAGGTTCCGGAGGTAATCGAGAGTACATATTGAGAAATCGGTATCTTACGAACCAACTCATGGTTGACATAAATGCCACCACGATCAACATCCTAGAATAAGTAGTTAGTACTGGAAATCGGATAAACTGAATGGCACATACAAAGTGGTAGCATTCATAGTAAATGTCAAGCTGGTTGAAAACAGCGTAAAGAGGAAAGTCGGCATTGTGATTGTCGTGAAAGTTATAACCCAATAAAGAATTCCTGGAATCACTCTGATGAAGAACATGATCATCTTGCCAAATAATCCGAACCATAATCCTGCCACTACAATATCTGTTTGGTTCGTTGGTATGCCGGTAACCAAAGCCACGGCTGAAGCTATTGTCGAGTCCATGGATCTCACAGAACCTCCAACAAGGGAGGAAATAGGTTCGAAAGATATGATCTTGTGTTGAAAGATTGTTAACTATTAGCAGAGTTGACTGCTACTTCATTCACAGATACTCCACTCTCGCATATCGACCGATAATTCCATATTTGAGTACCGAATATGGCCAATGATTGTTGTTCTGAAAGAGGAATCACCTTGGATTGGAGTTCAGACAATTAATTGACAGGGAACAATTTCAAGAGCTTCAGGAAGGTTAAACGTTACTACCTACGCCAATCAAAAGTCTCCAGCTTGCTTTTATTTATTTAGCGAGGCCATCCCACCAAGGCCCCTCCCCATCAAACCATCAAACCATCAAGCCATTAAATCCCGACCGCCGATTGTGACTCTTTGAGAAATCTATGTCTCTTTAAGAAATCTATCACCAATTTTTGATTTCTATAAAGAACAACAATACCAGCATCTTAATTTCACAAATTCGATAACCTGACGAACACCTCAAATTCGGCAACGAAGCCAAACAGAAATCACAGAATTTTCACCCCGCGCCCAGCCGCGCAACAATCGCAGCCATGTCTCTCACCAATTGCCGCTTCTATGAAGACAAGTTCCCAGAGATCGATAGCTTCGTCATGGTGAATGTTAAGCAGGTAGGGAATCACATAGGCGCACTTTAAAGTGTAGGAGAGATGCTAATCTCCAGCTTCGCAGATCGCAGAGATGGGTGCCTATGTTAAGCTCCTCGAATATGATAACATCGATGGCATGATTCTTCTCTCCGAGTTATCCAGACGTCGTATCAGAAGTATTCAAAAGCTTATTCGTGTTGGCCGCAATGAGGTCGTTGTTGTTCTCAGAGTCGACAAGGAGAAGGGTATGCAGAATATTCACAATATTATGTTGCAGTGGAAGGCTGATCTAACGGATTGCAGGATATATTGATCTTTCCAAACGAAGAGTGTCACCTGAAGATATTGTAAAATGTGAAGAACGATACAACAAGGGCAAAATGGTTCATTCGATTATGCGCCACGTCGCAGAGAAGACAAAGCACCCTATCGAGGACTTATACGAGAAGATTGCATGGCCATTGAACAAGAAATACGGTCATGCTGTTGATGCTTTCAAGCTTTCGATAACGTATGAAATTTTCGTTTATTTTGGGAGTATTCTGTGTATACTGACGTTAAAATAGAAACCCTGATACTTGGCAAGAAGTCACCTTCCCTAGCGATATCGTCGCCGAGGAAATAAAATCATATATTGGAAAACGCCTTACACCACAACCAACAAAAGTCCGTGCCGATGTCGAAGTTACTTGCTTTGGATATGAGGGAATTGATGCTGTCAAAACTGCTTTAAGAACTGCTGAAGCCAGAAACACCGCGGATAACCAAGTCAAAGTCAAGCTTGTTTCCCCACCACTCTACGTTCTTACCAGCACATGTATAGAAAGGCAAGTTGGTATTTCGACCTTGGAAGCCGCCATTGTGGACATCAGAAAGAACATCGAGGCTGCGGGAGGTGGATTAATCGTTAAGATGGAGCCTAAGGCAGTCACTGAGAACGATGATGCCGAGTTACAAGCACTCATGGAGAAGAGAGAACGTGAAAACGCCGAAGTCAGTGGAGATGAGAGCATGAGTGAGAGTGATGAGAACCAAGTGGAGGTCATGTAAAAAGGTTAAATAGGGGGTATCAAAAAGCAATTAAAAGCATTCTGATTAAGCCAAAATTATTGCTTCATGGATTTGGTTGTATTTTTGGCGCAGAGTAATTCCATCCAGAATAGCTTCCAATATGCAGATAAAGACCAATCAAAACGAGATTTTCAAGGGTTACCATTCCATGTGAAGTAGAGGTATTATGTAGGGAGTTGTTATGTTAAAGATAGTAGTGAGTAAGTGCACATCTTGCCTTTGCCGAAAGTCTTATAAGTATCTATCTATCTTGTAGGTACTCGAGTACCTATACTTTATTCATTTTCTACTCGTACTCGTATTTTATTTTATTAAACAAGATCCTCCTAAGAGATGATTTTTAATCTACTCATACTGACTGGCAGTAGCCAGCCCTCTTATTTTCTTATTCTTATTTTTAATCTCCATCTCCATCTCAATCACATTAATCTTAATCTTAATTTCAAACTGCTGGTATCAGGTATCAATCAATATTGTATGTACTAGATAGAGTACACACACACACACTACTATACTACTGTACTACTATACTAATCGGCTCTCCTCTCCTCTCCTCTCCATGGAACAGAACAGAACAGACGCCTAGTAGTTTCCAATCGGGGAAAGGAAAGGAAAGGAAAGGAAAGGAAAGGAAAGCGATTGTCGATTATCCTTAGTAAGCGATTTATCTACTGAGTACATGTATTCCCCTTTCGATATTATAAAGTATAGAGTATAGAGTACCTACTCGAGTATATTCATTCTGAAAGTACTCAGTAGTATAAGTAGTATAAGTAGTATAAGTAGTATAAATACTAGGTAAGTGTACTCAGTACTCGAGTAGATTATATATACTACTCGTATACTAGGTAGTAGCTCTATGATGTACCCGTATTACCCGTATTACTCGTATTAATAACGTAATCCTTTTCTACAAATATACTGTATACTTCTCGAGTATTCGAGTATTGAGTATTGAGTATCCGAAAGGGAGAGAGATAATCAATCGTTTATGCCCACTCGAGTACAGAGGATAATTTGTTTAGATTTGTTTTCCCCAATCAACTTGAACTGGGAATTAGCTGTGTGCCGAGCCAGTGTGTGTTTAATGGAGACTCGGAGTCGACTATTTCTATTTATACGAGTAGCATACCTAGTTTATATACTAGTAGTGTGATTGTTATTGTTATTGTATTCAAGTATACATACAGTACGGCATCCCGTTCCATCCTCCCTATTCCATCCGAGAAGATCCATGATCCATCCCATTCTTTCCCATTCTTCTCTTTCTTCTCTTTCTTTACTTGCCATTCCTTCCATACTACATATCATATCCCATCATCTATCTAACCCTATCATCTAACCCTATCATCTAACCTTATCATCTAACCTCATCATCTGACCCTATCATCTAACTCTATCTCGCAACTCTATAATCATAACTTATAATTTATAACTTGTAAATCATAAATCATGAATCATATATATACTTACTTCCTATATATATGTATATACGTACACAGTATTCCATGTACAAACTAGCACTAGCACTAGCACTAGCACTAGCTATACAATGTAAAATCTCCACAACAACCACACTTATATTCATATTCATATTTTTCCCCTCCTTCCTCTCCCTTCTTCCTCTCCCATCCTATCCAATCCAATCATCTACTCCCAGCCCCGAGCCATCAAAATCCCAATCCAATACAATCTAATATTTCTCATCTCATCTCATCATCTCTTCTCATCTCATATAATCCCATAAAACCTCATACCGTACTATCCCACCCCAATCAATTCCTATATACCAAAAGCCCAAGCCCAAATCTCAAGCCCAAATCCAAATCCCAATCCCAAATCCAAATTCTCAGAGCTAAAACAAAACGCCACTCTATTCCATTTGCTCCATGATATATCTCATCTCATCTCATCTCATCTCATCTCAAGTCCTCTCTCATCTCATCCATCCACACTATAATCTATAATCTGTAATCATGCCTCGGCGTGCCATGCCATACCGTGCCATCTTCAAATAATATATACTCCACATCCCATCTCATCCCATCTTATGAGACGAAAACCAAATGAACTCAATTTCGTTCATCTCATCTCATCTCATCTCCCATATACAGAATTGAAACCCTTATAACCCACCCGCATCATCTCCATCTAATATCAATATCACAATTGATCCAAATAATATAATAGCGAACACACCTCAAATCCCCCCCCCTCAAACTCCACCTCAAGGACCCAACCGATCCCTCATAATACACAGAATCCCATTATCAGGACAAACCTTCACCCTCCCCAACTGTTTATCCCTTGGCCCCGTCGGACCCCCCACAAACTTCCAAAAACCAAAAAACTCACTCTGTCTCCGATCCCCCCTCTCATACTGCGCATCGCCCCATTTTCCCACAAACTCCATTGCGCCCAACGGACTACCTTCGCTTGCGGCTGCAAAACTTGCACTTCCTATATCATACGTGTAGAAATAGGAAGAGAGGGCAGGGTCCCACAGGGTACCGCGAGATGTGTAATCTTGCAGGAGACCAGCCGGAAGATTCAGATCGGGAATCGTATGGTCGTGCGTACCAGGTATAGCATAATTAGCGTGAGAGCCGCGTGCTGAGTAAGAAATGGGTCTTTTCCCACTCTTTTCCACGACCGAATAGAGGAATGCTTGGCCGTTTCCGTGCTGGGAATACCAGATGGCTTGTGGTGTTCCGTTTACGAACCGTATCATGTTGTGTTCCCAGTCTCCGATATGATCTCCGAGTTCTTGTCCGAAGACCGTATTTCCTTGATTGTATGCGTAGAAATACATGTAAAAGACGTCTATAAGCCCATTACCGTGATCGGAGAGGATCACAGAACAAGAGATGGCGTTTTGGGTGCGGCCGGTAGTTGAGGATGGAACGACGCCAGTAAGGTAAGCGGGGATAGTGGTGACATCAACTTTGGAGGTCAAAAAAACGTTGGGGCCCCATTTGTTCAATGAAGCGAGACTTTCGAGGTTGAGCGGAGAAGGGAGTGTGTCATTGGATATCAAAGTGAGGTTGACACGGGGTGAAGTATTGAGAATCTGAGCGTACATGTCGGAGGGAAAATACATTTCTGCTTCGTCAAGCCAAACAAGTGGTGCTAAACATTATACATGTTAGTGGGTACTGTAATGATAGGCACGTTCGATATACAGTCCGAACTTCCTTACCATAATCAAATACAAACGACGGCAGAGTAGTATTAGGTCTCGCAGACGTGCTTCCCCACCCTAAAGCCGCCAATGATAAACAGCCAGGCCCATGTTGTTGTCGGTATAGCATCACAACCAATAGAGCTATCACTGTAATCTTCACAGGCACAAATCAGCTTAAGTTCAACATCAAATCCAAACCCAGCATCTAGTTCAATCGCCGTGTGCGAAGAAAGGCAAACCGATGAGTCCGACAAAGGGTCCGCAACAATGGACATACCTCCAACCAAATCGCAGCTCCAGGCACCCTATTCCTCGAAGCCACTCTCCTCCATCCGCACACCCTCTTAACCCCCAACATCTCAGCATTTGCGCCACTCGCGCGACCCTTCTCTTCATCCATTATATCGGTCGATTTGTCCACGGCCATGGTATCTGCTGTGCTAATTCCCTTCGAACCCGAAATCCAATCTCCAATCCAATCTATCATCTAAGCTCCACGCAAACCTATCCCAACTCGTATAGTATTCGTTCTCGTATATTCTTCTCTGGTAATATATTCACACCTCGATACGATGCGCAACTGCGAAGATATCGAATCCACCTTCGTGTTATCTTCCACCGAACCGCACCTCAGTTCCAAGCCAACTTCAACTTCAACCCTCAACTTTCAATCATTAACCCGCAGGTAGTGTAGTAGCAAATCCTCAAGATAGGTAGGTAGGTAGGTATAGTATAGTAAATGCTCGTAAAAGTAAAGAGTAGTAAGCGCAGCAGTCCCTTGTTGTCCTTGTCCTTGTCTTTGCCTGTCTTTCCTGTCTTGTCTCTTCAAATCTCAAAACTCAAAACTCAAAGCTCAGCTTAAGCTCAAGCTCAAGCTCAAACCTCAAACCTCAAACCCAAGCTCAAGCCGTAAGCGCCTCCTCCCTTCCTCTAAATACCAACTCCAGTACCGGTACCGTACCGGGTAGCGTTCCACGTTCCACTGTTATCCGTTATCGTATCGTATCGTATCGTAAGCAGTGATCTGATCATGCAGAGCCAGCTCGTGCACATTCATTCAATCATCCACTCTACGAGTCATTCACTCACTCATTCAATTCACCCCGTGTTATCTGGTAATAAATGTCCTACTGTATGTATTGTACTATATTGTATTCATATAAAACATAAAAAGGAACACCGGCACTGAAAAATCATCTTGGTAATACATTTAATAAAGAAAAATTGTAAATACAGGTCAAAATCTCACATTCGGACTTTTTTGTAGTATTAGCCACAAGCCTAACCTAACTGCCACATGATTGGTGAATCAAAATAATCCCCTAATTCCCCGGCCGGATCCATCTCCCGCACCCATCACCACCAAACGCGCCAAGCCACATGAACCCAGAGTATAAGTATATCATTTGAACATAACAATATCTCTTGATCCGATCATTCATTCAATCATTCATACAATCATCATTCATTCATACAATCATACGATCATTCATCCATCTAAGGTTCAACTTTCTACTCTAGAAGAACATCACATACACATACACATACACATGATACATCACAAGCGACACTTTTGACCTTAGTAAGATTGAGTAAAAAGGGTTGTTGTAAAGTAACTAAATAAAGTAACGAGTAAACGAGTGATATAATATGCGCCATCCATGTCCTGTAAACCTATTCCTTCCTAGAGAGTAGGTCTGAATAGTAAGTACCTATTCATCCCATCCCATTCCATCCCTTCCATCCATTCCATGTTCTTCCCTTCCATTTCCTTTCCTTCCCTCCAATACCATCATCATCCTATACACCCACCCACACAAAAGAGAAATTCGTTTCTTTCTTCATACACCTTAGGTATACACCTCCAATTGCACTACTCGTATACTGTCGACACAACACTTATAAAGGAGTCTACAGTACAGTCGTGAAGACATTTACAAGATTACCTAGTGCATAAACATCTTCTCCACTAGCTTAACCCCATACCCGTTTCCAACCATAGTTTCCCCTCATCCATTAAAATGACATATAATCTCTCACGAGACGTTCACCGATTCCGATCTTCTTCTCCCCTTCTAGGACTTCTACTTCTCGATCCAGATCTAGATCCTAGACTCCCGCTTAACAAGTTCATTGACCTGTCCACCAGCATACTCCTCCAACTTTCTCCACGTCTATCAACAGATCTGCTGGCGCGACTTGGCGTTGAAGGGGAAATTCCTTGTTCTAGATCCCCTACAATCTCATCTTCGAGATTACGGGAAAGTGGTAGGGCAGATGAGGAGGAAGGGTTTACGGATTCTGCTGCTTGAACTTGTATTTCGTCATCGCTGTCATCATCACGGTACGCTTCATAGCGCGGAGAAGATGGTGATCCTCTGGCGAGGGAACGAACGACATCACCTTTGCAGATGGGACATGTTCGGCGACGAGTTGTCAACCAGGGTGTTCTAAAGGATATGTCAGCAATTGCATTTGAACTTGGATGGGAAAGGTAAGACATACATGCAATCCACGTGGAATTCATGGCCACAAGGTAAACTCATGACTTGACTAACACCATCCACGTATTCTTCTAAACACACTACACACTCTACTTGCTTGCCCATATACTTTTTCCACTGACTCGGCGATCCAACAATTTTTTCATGTTCATTAGGCTGAGGAGTTGAGAGAGTAGGTGCTTGTAATGGATTTGAAATGACTCGAGCAATATCTCCTGGTTCTGGTATGCCCGTCGTTGTCCGCGATCTCGGACGTGGTCTGCTCGGCGGGGTATTCGAAAGAAGAGGAGTGGTTGCCGAGGGACTAGTCGGGGATGACACTGTTGGGGATCGATTGCCAGGTGTATTAATAGTTTGATAAGTTCTGACTGGTAATCTTTCGACAACCGATTTCGGTGCTCTCCAACGGCGTCGCCTTATTCTAGATCTAAGCAGTAGTAATGCGTAGACCACGGTCAAAGTGACAAGCGGACTGACTACTAGTACTAGTAGAGTGTCGAGGAATGGACTGGCTCCACTGGTGGGTGTTAATGTGACCCAAAGTCCATCTTCTTCGTCTTCTCCATCATTATCATCTTCATCATCTTCATCATCTATATCAACACTGCCCGTACTGCTGGATCCTGGCGCAAGAAACTCAAAATCTTCCTCGTCATCGCCAAATATAGTTGTCAAAATACCCTTTGTTTTGCTACCAGACGAGCTGGATTTTTCTGTCGTCTCCTTCGCCTTAGGCTTGACCTTATCCATTTCGGAAGTGAGCTTAGGTGCATACTCTCCACTACCAGGTGTAATACTCCCCCCTCGTAGTTTAGGCGTGACTTCAGTCTTTTCCTCCGTGGAACCACCCGAGTTCTTGTTTCCTGCCTTTGTTGGTTGGGGTGATTCGTTCTTCGCTTTATTTGCATCGATTTTCCCGTCCGTCTTGGTAGAACTTGTTTTCGAGTTTTTCTCGGAATCCTTGCTATCAGATGACCCTACCAAGTCTGGATCACGCCAATCCTGAACACCAATAACGAAATCATCCCCTGACGCAGGCTTGCTTCCGCCCTTGCCAGTTTGCTGTGACTTCTTGTATGCATCCGCTTTTTCCTGACCGGTAAGTTTGGCGGTGGATATTTTCTTCGTTCCGGCATTGTCATCATCCTTCCAGTCATCGACCAGAACCCAATCAAGTTGACCACTGCTCGGTGGTCGACTGCTGTCCTTAACGGTACCTCGTCCACCGGCCCCATAAAACAAAGACTTGAACCAGCCAGGCTTCTGTGTTTCGATCGTTGTGGTTTTCTCCTCAACTTTCGAAGGTGCTTTCTTAGTCGTTTTCTTTAGATCAGCTCGAGTCGCCTTTGTGGCTTTGGGCGTCGTTGTCGTAGTTGTAAATGTGGGCTGAGATTCCTTCGTCTTCTTTTTCGAAACCTTCTTCGACTTCTGATTCTTCTGTACCTTCAATGTCGCCTTACCACTTTCATCCAGCGCATCTTCCATAAAGGTACCCGGACCTATAAGAGAAGAAAGTAGATGTGCCGTGGTGCGAGAGGTAAAGATAGCTGGTATGGTCACGTTTGATGTATCGCCCCGAGCATACATCTGGATGAGCGGTCCGCCACTTTTGTCATCACCTACGATCAAAGCAATTCCACCCCTACGTTGTACCCATTTAACCTTTTCCAAAAATCCACAGCCTCCACGGCTCAATAAAACAACCTTACCAGCGATTTCCGCACCTTCCTGTATAGATTGAATATCGGCATGATTTGCCTTGATATCTGCGGGTTGCTTGTCCGTAGGCTTTGACACTGCTGATCCTGATAGAGGATGGTGAAGGTAGTCATCGGTACCATCTCCGACCGAAGGCTCTACCCCATTGTGTTTATTCTTTGTAGAACTACTCGACGTACGATCAATGAAGGATTTGTCACCCACATTCGTCCTCTTGTTTGTCTTTGATTTACTCGCAGTCGTCGCAGATTTATCGCCTCTAGATTTGGCTCCTTCTGTCGCGCCGGACTTCGCATAGTTATCGACCCAACCTGGTACGTCACTGCACCCTAATTCGCCTTCCGCCCCCGATGCAACAGGACCTTGCCGTATGCTATCATCTCCAAACCCACTCCCTATCCAAAGCTGTCCCTTTAATCCCTCGTTAGGTAATAAAGGTCCGAAGGCAGCAGGCCTTGCCAAGAAAGCAGTCGTATTATCATTCGTGAGTGTTATTATCGCATTAGGAGGGAAGAGGGAGAAGGGAGCTCGGAAGGAGAATAAGGACTGTATTCCTGTCTTTGGAGGAGTCGTAGAAGTAGCTACATTTTGCGGTGAATGAGAGGACCGCAGAGATAGAAATGTAAGAAAGAAAGTAGTAAGGAGGAAAGCAACAATTATCACCATTCTTGGAGGTCGCATGATGGGTATTGTATTCTTGAATCTCAAAACTCGAAACTCTTGAAAGCGCCGACAGTAACTCTTCAGCCCCTACAGCTGGTTTTTGCCGGAGCTTAATCGCATCCAACTTGATCGTTATGGAACGTTGTAAAATATATTTGTTGCAAAATACAAACAAAATGGTGATGGTAGAGAAAGATAGGGTTGAAGTTGTGAGTTGTGAAATCGGTGGTGGGTCGAGATACACCAGCGGAACTTGAGCCACAAAAAGGTAAAGGTAGAAAGGTAGGCGAGGCGAGTGGGATGAATCAGTTGGTGGGTGCTTGATCACGCAGGGATAACAAACAAGAGAGGGGGGATAATACGGCAAACTATTATATGGAGAACATTCATTCAATAGTGCTTTATAACTGGAGTTACTCTTGTGATATTATATCTACTCTATGTGTACGATTAGACGATTAGTTGTATTCTCATACCAACGAGCAATACAAATAGCAGTGCGGCAGCCATGAATAACCTATGGTGGAAGTCATATTAGAAATTGGTGGTATGTCATCGATTTCCAACAAGTAACAAGGGATTAACGGGTCAAATTCCATTGTGGCTGTCCTTGTCTTTACCGGTAGATGATTGACAATTTGATATACGGAAAAGCTTGTTGCTGCTGATCATGAACCCACATGTTTTGCATCCATTTCGTGTCTCTGGAATTACCCCATGTAATTAATATACGAGTATATGAAAATAGCATTGGATATTCGTTAACTCATCACCTTGAAGATCTATATAAAGTACTCGACCCCTTTCACAAGCCTGTTTGCGGAAATCTAAATAGTCTACAGAGTAATAAATGGTGTTTGGAATGAAGCTAGCTATGGCTGTGACTGTGGCTCATTGCTGTGGCGTTTGTATTTACAAGTACCGGTATTCTGTCCATCTTTCTCGCCTTGATCATCCCATTTTATATCAATTGCAACCCATCATTACACTCAGCCATACCAGACTACCGGTATCGTCGTTTTGTACAAAATTTGCTGTTGAGATTCCCCATCTTCTCAGATCGCAATCATGAAAGCGATTCTCTTATTACTCGAGTACATTGCATTTCGCTCTGGTCCCCCACTCCTTGGTATGGTTGCTCGCCACCAAGCCATATATCTTAGCTGGGCCTATTCGTCATCTGGGACATTATCAGGATCAATTGAGCACCCTACCTGAGCATTACGTACGTTCTTACAATACGTCAATGACTTTAGATCTACCGGTATACCTATACCTAGAGCTTCAGAGTTTCGCGTAAACTCTTGACTATTATCTCGCATACCGGTAGTCTCTGGTGCCCGAGTACAGTATCATCATATAATCACTTGGTAGTCCCAAGTATTTGTTCTAGCCACTTCAGCTCCCGTCCGTGCCAACTGCTCACGCTTCGAGAAAGCCTACATGGCAAGTTTAGACGTTCCGTGATCTGCCAAATACCACACCGTTACTTTTCCATGCCTTTGACAAGCTTTCCGTGCTGTTCTGCTAGCCCATATCTACATCTAGACTCTAGAATGAGCCATCAACCAACTTGAGCTAAAGCTAGCTCATTGCATATTACAGTTCAATTAGATTACGTCTGGGCCGACCTATCAAACTGCAACCATTATCTTTGGGTTGAGGCGATAGCCACAGCATCATAAATTTTCCGTAGTGTCTTTCATCTGTGGCTCCTTCTGATATAAAGGAGTGGGAATGCAAAATACTACTTTAAACGCCACAAAGTCTCCGGTTTGGTTTGACCTGTCTGTCATGCCAGCCACAGAGTTGTAGATTGCAGTCGGTTATGGTATTCTCTTTATACTCGAATAGTCCAAAATCTGAAGTTTCCCTTGGCAGGTGCGGGGTCTCTTTTATATCATCTTGACCCCTCGGCCTCCCCTGTATATTGCATTCATCTTTTTATTGTTCATTGTATTGACTTACATCAATATAAATTGGCAATTTATCTTCTAATCTCCATTATATCCTTAATTCCATCGCCACTCTCCAACCCATTCGACTCGAATCGCCATCATGAATATCAACGAACCGAGACACGGCGGTGGTTTTGTGCTACCCTTTTTCAACGATAGCAAAAGATCCCGGAAACCCCATGCCGGCAGAGACTCCTTAAAGTCAAATCGAATTCCTTTCCTTGGCTGGATTCCAGATACAGTCAGTTACATAACAACTCCATTCAGAAACGCTCATAGATCGCTTCACTCACACAACAAGATACGAAATCATTTCGTGGCAACAATGGCAGAATTCGCCGGAACGACCCTCTTTCTCTTATTTGCTTTTTCAGGTACCCAAGTGGCTCTTTTAGCAACGCCGGCGAATAATTCGAACGTCGTCGGAACTCCGAGCGATCCCGCCCAATTACTTTATATATCTTTATGTTTTGGTTTCTCCCTCGCAGTTAATGCGTGGGTTTTCTTTCGTATTAGCGGTGGCCTATTTAACCCCGCCGTAAGATTTATCTCTCTTACCTCTTCATTGTCTCAATGAAGTGATATCTAATAACCCATAGGTCACGATGGGCATGTGTCTCGTTGGCGCGCTCCCGTATTTTCGAGGACTTCTTTTAATAATAGCTCAAATTCTCGGTGGTATCACAGCTGCCGCCATTGTTTCTTGTCTCTTCCCTGGACCTATAACATTTAGAACCAGTCTAGGAGGCGGCACATCAATTGTTCAAGGTCTCTTCATCGAAATGTTTCTCACTGCTGAATTAGTCTTTACAATCTTTATGCTTGCGGCTGAAAAACATAAGGGAACTTTCATCGCACCAATTGGTATCGGTCTTTCTCTATTCATTGCTGAACTTACAGGTACACATTGACATTTTCCACTTACTCCGTGTCCTTAAATATATTCCCACCCACATCCACTTCAACCTCACACAAAAGCTTACCACCCCTCAGGCGTCTACTTCACCGGCGGCTCCGTTAACCCCGCCCGTTCCTTCGGCCCCAGCGTCGTCGCACGCCAATTCAACGGCTACCACTGGATCTACTGGGTCGGTCCCATCCTCGGCGCCATCCTCGCCTCAGGCTTCTACAAATTCATCAAGATGCTCGAATACGAGACGGCCAACCCAGGTCAAGACGCTACTCGCATTGGGGAATCCTTCGATCCCGAAGCTCACGCCATGACTAACAAAGTCGATTTTGCTGATGAGGGAATGGTAGGTAGGGAGCTGGATGAAAGTGGTGCGGGTCGCGTTCATGGATCGGCTGGCTATGGTCATGCGAAGGAATATGGGACGCAGCGCAGACCGTTTAGTGATAGTCCGGCGCCGCCCCATCCAAATGATCAGTTTGTGGGGTTGAATTCGGGCGGGATGCATGCGGATGAACATGTTAAGGTAGGGGAGGGAGCGGCGAAGGAGGAGACAACGAGGGATAAGAGGGATAGTGGGGGGACGTTGGTAGAGAATGGGGCTAAGAAGAGTGCGATGAGGGGTGGGGGTGGGAATGTGAGTGGAATGGGAGTGGATCAGAGGGTAGGAGGCGATTTGAAGAATAACACTTATAATAACCAGATGATTGGACAGGGACAGGGGGTACAAAGTGAGGAATTTTATGATAAATAAACGGGGTGTCTGTTTCGACTCAGGGTGTTGGGGTTTAATGTATGGGAGTGAGAGCGAGCTGGTTTTTCAATTCTGTGTTTGTCGTGGAATAGCATATAGGTTAATAATCATTAATCATGTTGTACTCGTACTTGGCGCAGACTGATGTGATGTGTTGTGTTGTGTTGTGTTGTGTTGTATTGTGATATGATGTGAGTGTATCTCAGGCTATTTATTTTATTTTTTAGAATAATAATTAATACGAGTACACTGTTTATACTCGAGTAGTGGGGATTTTACAATGTAATGGAGTGTAATGTACTGAGTGCTGTATGTAGTATGGAAATCTTCTTCTATGAGTAGTATACTCGTATTTTTGACTCTATTTGTATTGGTATAACTCTCTAACTCTCGAGTACTGTATAGCTAGCTAGCTAGCACTACAGTACTAAGTATAATATAATATAATATAATATAAATTACAACTGCGTTATACTTGTAGTATATATATAATCAATATACTCGAGTAATCAGTCAGTCAGTAAGTAAGTCAGTAAGTAGTATAAGTAAAACAGTTAGTTGGGAAACTGAACTGGTCTGGCACTTTGGAAAGTGCTAGGTAGGTTGGTAGGTAAGTAAATAGATTGAAGTTTTAACTAACTGATTTTGAATGGATTTGGAATGGATTTGGAATGAATTTGGAATGTTGAATGTAATGTAGCATAACAGTGAATTGATTTGATTTGAATTTAATTAAACGGAACAGCTGATTATATTGGAAACTGGAAACTGGATATTGGAAAATGGAATCTACTAGTTTGATGGATTTAGTTGGAGTTGAAACTTAAAGTGGTGGTGGTTTGATAGTTGTGAACTTGTGATAGATTCAGTTGAAGTTGAAGTTGAAGTGGTGCTTGTGATAGATTCATTTGAAGTTGAAGTTGAAGTGGTGGTTTGAAATTTTTTGGATTTTATTGATATGTATGAGTAGAATTATTATGAGTATAAGGAAATTATATATGTATGTATGTGGTTGGTGAGTTGGTGAGTTGGTGGTGGTGATATTGACTGCTAATTTTGTTTTGTCGGATTAATTGGTCGAATTATATGTATGGACTGGTTGACTATTGACCACACTACGAGTATTAAACTGTATATAATATCAGTGAACCGAACCGAACCGAACCGAATTGGAGTTGTTAATGTTATGCAGATGATATGATATGACAAGATATTATTATCATATTATACATCAAGTTTCGATATATTATTATTTCATATACTAGTATTTCTTTAGAGGTGGTTGATTCCCGTCTTTTCACCCCTTACCCCTATATAGAGTAGAGGGGAGCCTATTCGGTTAAAGTTGGAGTTAGAATCTAGATAGAGAGGTGAAGTGTTATCGGAGGGATATATATATGTAAAAGAGGAAGTAGAGCGAGCGATGTCACATTGTTATATTAGATCAAGAAAATTCTTGTATTTATTGAAAATCAGGCTTTTTTTCCTACTCGGGTACTATCCTTTATCCTCCATCCTCTATCTTCTATCTTTTATCTTCTATCTGCATACATATTCTGCAAGATAATCGTATTCTCTCTTTCCTCTTTCTCCTTTTTCTCCTTTTTAACGCATTCTGGACACTTTACTTCCGGTTGGTCATGCTGTCTATTAAGATATTCTATACAAGAAAGAGTTCCCCATTCACACGCTTCACTACCCGGTTGGTTTGCTACGATACAAAGAAAGCGTGAACAGTAATTCTTGTGGCCGCACTGATAAAGTCCATAGACGAATATACACATCTGTGATATTTTAGAACGACAATCATATGCGCGATGAAGGAAAGTGTCACTTACGATGTATGTCTCAACGGTAGGCAAGCGAGTAGATGGACTTCGGGTTGGCAGCTGGTTGATCAAACGCTTGGTACTGGAATGGATGTTCGAGTGGGATCGAGTGGGATCGAGTGTCTGAGATGGATAGAGCAAAGTGTTGGGAAAGAATAGGATCGAAGGTTCTTGATGTAAAGCAGGATGTGAAGTTTTGGTTTGGAGAACCCAAGGCTTGCTTTTGGGATTCTTATTCCTATGTAGTATGAGTTTATACTGTTCAAACTTCTGGGCTCGATATGGGACGTACCTGAGTATTGGTCTAGGTAGGTACCGTATGGTATTCGAACGGGAGAAAGTGTTAAAGCAGGATGAAGTCTTGATGTTGATTAGAGTGTTGAAGTTAAATGGAGTTCTTTTGAATATCTTTAAGTCTTGATTTCGCTGGGGAATGTATGTCTTGCTGTGTGTATGAAGAAGAAAAGTCCACAAGAACGGGGAACTTCGAAGCCTTAAAAGCATTTTGGAGTGGGAGTCTTTGCACTACCATTTGTAAATTCTAAGAGGTTTTCTGACTGATATTGCTCTTTGGAGTATTGTCTATGTGTCAAAATGGGTATGAAATATAACAATGTAAACGATATGATTACCAACTTGAATCACCGAGAAGGATTTGCGAGTGAATTTGATATTTGAAGCATCGTTGATGTGTCAAAATGGACATAAAAAGATATTGTAATAGATATTATTGCTATCTCCAGTCACTGAGAAGGATATGCGAGTGACCTTGATATTTGAAGCATCTTTGATGTGTCAAACCGAGTATTAAATAACAATATAAATAATAAATAACTGCAATCTCCAGTTACTAGAAAGATTATACGAGTGTTTTCGACATTTGAAGCATCGTTGATGTATCATAAAGGGTATAAAACAATGTAATAAAAGATACAATAGTTATTTCTACTCATCGAAAAGTGATTCATGACTGAAAATACCAGTTAAAATAATATTGATGTGTCAAAAGAGGTATGAAATAAAAATGTAATGATATGACTGCTATTTCCATTCACTGAGATGTATTTATAATTGGTATTTAAATTTGAAAAATAATGATATAACAATCAGACTCTCTTATACAATCATTCCATACCCCTTTTGATATATCAATAATGTTTCCGACAACAATATCAGTCAGAAAACTCTTGATGATTGTAAATATTAATACAGAAACTGTCCCTTCAAAAATTATTTAAGGCTCGAGAATTCCTGTTTTTATAAACTTTTATAACCAACAAGATATATACATCCTTTCACAGAATCCAAGCTCAAAGTTATCAAGAATTACATCCAGCTTCAATACTCTATCCTGTTCCAACACTCTTTTCTATTCAGCAGTCCACCTTGAGTGAATACTCAACCCTATATAAATATACTCTCTCCAACTTGAACACTCTGTTCTATCCTCTATCCAGAGCCGTATACAAGTACGTATTGCACTATATAATCTCATGATACCGTAAACTAAAATATCCCAGTACCAAGTATTTGATCTACCTACCCGAAGTCCATTTACGTATCTAGTACTCGAGTATCAAGATACACACAGTAAGCGACCCCCCTCTCCTCCTCACCTATCTAATCGTAAATATTAACAAGCCACAGATGTGCAACGATATACACGCCCGATTTGGCTGCAGCGAAGATCACTATTCCGAACGAGGAATCGACGCAGATCGCCTGAGATTCGTGCTAATCCGCAAATGCAAATACGCCCAAGAAGTTTCTGGGTTAGCATGCACCCCGCGTACTAGACTCCATGACTGGAGTCTCGATAATCTCGAGGAATGGTGTCCCGAGTGCAGACCCATGATTCGTACGCCGCCGTACTCGCCGCGTCCCGTGGCTCAAAACCAGAATGGCCAGAGTTAGGTTTCGGGGGCAGATAACAGTTTCGTGAGCGACGGAACGTGTGAAAGGGAGATGATGCGTTTGGAATACTGCTTCGAAAGCCTTTTGATATAAGATAATGAATGAATAGCCTGACTTTTACAATATGACTCTGTCACACTCACGTATTTGGGCCTTTGATGTTATCGCTGTGCTTAATGTTTTGTGAATTCCATTGAACTTCACATGTCCAATACCGGTAGACCCCCTCAAGCGGGGAAAGCGAGTCCATAAGAAAACTCCAAACCCATCCCTCACAATCACACCCTGGGACACTACCATCTCATTCATCTTATGATACGATCAACAAATTGATCGTGATTCTAAATCAGTCATATCATATCATACCATATCACATCCAGCGTTTCGAATATTCCATCCTATCCTATCCTATCCTTCAACTAAGGATAGACAGGATGGCCCTGGAGGATAAGCAGGGTGGGATACAAATAAGTCGAGGAAGGCTATACTCGGACTTTTAAAGTTTAGAATACTCGAGTAGAATAGAAAGTATGAGATATCGAAAAAAAAAAGTTATGTTAAGAATAATGTTTTCCCAATTTTCAATTATTGATAGTTTATTCGGTATTTTTTTTTCAAAAATCCTACGAGTATATAAGGATAAACTGTTTTTTTTTACAAGAATAGGCAGGCAAAGGATATATCCTTTTTAAAAAGGATATAGTAATTCCATCCTGCGCCTAGGATAGAATGGGAGAGGATGAGAATGGAATATTCGAAACGCTGATCACATCAACTCAAACGATTCCAAGCCCATACCTTTTCCCACCCCGCAGCCTAAGATCTAAACATAGCCAATAATTACATTCTCTATTCATCAAATTCGTCCCTCGTCATCAAGTCGGGAATCTCAATCTCGCAACAATGCTTGGGGATATTGTGAAACTTTCACTGATCGGTTCCCTAGCACCACCATTAGGTTCTGTCCTTAACATAATTACATTTCATATGCAATGAGCTACTCAAATAAATACCGCTTCTTGCAGCAAGCTTCCTTCCGTAGATTTGACGCAAAGTGTCAAAGCTAAGAAAATATCAGCCATCTGGGCTTTAACTGCAAGACCAGTTATGCATACCCACTAAGGTATTAAAACTGTCTTTGGCGGCTAGCAAGTGTAACGAAAATACTTTGGTTTTGTACATGTATACATGTATAATGGTATCATTCTATCTAGCCCATCTTCTAACCTCTACTCCAACCCGCCGTCTACAAACTTTCTATGAACATATTTACTCGTTCTTTTTCTCACCATCCACTTCAGGTTTCTTATCCGCAGCTACTCCCATAGCACTTAATGCCTTCTCGATTTTTCGATAAGCAAACGAGAAGCTAGGATATAGGAATGGTCTTAGATCGTATCGATTGTCGTCGGCTTCGAAAAGTTAGTAAATGACTTCAATTCTCATGAAAATAGTCAAGGAGAGGATAGTTTGGGATTTTGAAAAGCTGCTTCATGGAATAGGAAAATGGGTAAGAAACACATACGTGAATACTGCTCAGCATGATAACTTGGCGTGAGCGTAGTCATCTTATGACGATTAGTAGAATAGCACCAAAAGAACCATCTAGTTTTCTCATATATCTCGCGTGGTGAGAGAACATGACCCCATTCATGCAAAAGTTTGGTCCACATTCCGTACGGTCCTAATTTGTCTACTTTGCGAAGACGACCATAGATGGATAGCTCGTTGTAGCTCATACCCATATCAACTTCATCGCTCTGTACATAATCTTCGGTGATAGGTTCAAGTTCTGCGGTTGGTGGAGCATCGATGAAATCTTGGAGAAGTGGCATTTCGAATTCTGTACTGGCCCAAAGGATAAATCTCTTCAGATCAGTCTTGGAGATGGCGCCAATAGGATTAATATCTGCACTGCTGCAATCGTATTTCGTGAAGTAGCCTCTGAGTGATTCGTCAACATTTGCCGAGCCTAAGACCAATAAAGATCCAGGTTTCGTTCGGCCCCGAACTGTTGGCAAGAGTTGAGCAAAAAGATAAGCCAAAACCATACGAAGTCTGGCTTGGATATTTTGTAACGCCAAATTTGATGCTGGTGTTCCTCCATACATTTTGTACTTGGGCGTGTAACTTGTTACCGTCGTGAATAGTGTGGTGACGGCTGAAACAACATTATCGATGTTGAAGTTGAGATGGTAACTACCAATCTGTTCACCCAAATCTTTAGCTCGACCTCGCGTTTCTGCCGAGGAATTCTTGGATCCCATATAAGCAGTATGGAAAATGCGATTGGCGATATCTTGTGAGTTGGATGGACGCCATGTGCCATCTTCCTCTTCCCCAACGATTCTAAGTAAATCTTCCAAAACCTGTGGGTTATCGCCTTTCTCGACTGCTGCATAAACAATCCGACACATGGAATGAACTATAACCGAAGTCGCACAGCTATCGATTCCACCAGAAAGTGGCACAAAGTAGCCAGCTTGGCGAGATCGACGAAGATAATCCCATAAGAAACAAGCTGGGCCAAGTGCAATCTCCTCCTCAGGAACGTGATATCTGATTGCGATTTCCTTGGTAGGTTGCACCGTGGGATTTACGTCCTCAGCATCACTCGACAGACTCAAACCGGCTTCGATCCTTTCATATGGAGCCGTTTCCCTCGCTTGCATTGCACGTGATCTGGTGGTTCGATAAGCCCTCACCTCTTCTAAATCAACAGTGGCAGTCACCACTTCCACATCGTATAACGAGAATTGACTTGCTTGAGCGACAACCTTGCCATTGACGAGAATCATAGCTGATCCATCATAGTAAAGACGATCTCCATCGCAGCCTTGCTGGTTAGCATATAGATATATGCCTCCAGCTTTCAAGGTAGCTTCCTTAATAAGTTCTAAACGATTGTTTAGCTTACGAAGCTCATGATGACTGCCGCTGCTGTTGGTGAAGATCTCAACACCATCCAACGACATATTTATATGGGGTGCTCTGGGCGTGAATAATTCCTCGCAAGTCTCAGCACCAAAGCACGAGTCGTAAGTACTGATAACAGCATCTCCAATCGGAACTTTATGTTGCCCCGTCACTTTCGTGATCAGCCTTGGTAAATAATACTGCTCTACGATCCTCTCTCCTTTCCACGGCGTAAACCATCTCTGCTCACGATAATTCCCATCTGAAGCCAAGGAGAGTTTTGGACGAATCAGTAGAATCTGTTTTCTCGTTAGCTGCAACTCACTGTCGACAAGGTATCCAACAGTCCGGACGAGCAGACTTGGAGTAAGACGTTTCAACATTCAAAAATTACTTAATTTTCAGAACATACTTCGATGTCCCCCAAAACTAAGGTTCGAATCCGTTCATTATTGCAATCAAATTGAACATGCAATCTGAATAGAATAAATGGACCGGCTCTAGCATATCAAACAAAATGCAGATTGTATAAAATAACAGACTGACTTCAGTATATTAAACCGACTCATATCGTGTCTAATCCGAACCATAGGAAACCCAGATCACCAACCAACAAAGAATTCACTAACCTTAGAGTTATGCACAATAATCCTACAATTATAATTAACATTCTTATGTCGAACCGGCATTCCTATATCCAGCAAAATATCCTGACATTCCTCATGGGCAATGATCTCCGCAAGAGATTCCCACGAGTGCAACTCCGTATCTGATTCCAGACTAAAAAGATCATCAGTTACAGACTCCTCTGATGCCAACCCAAATACAGAAAATGTCAATCTCAATCTTACAAATGATCCTGACATCCATAACCCGTGATCTCCAGTTCAGGCCCAACACGTAACGATGCACCCGCCGCCTTTGCGCGTCGAATACTTTCGATAATGCGCTTTTGATTGCCGTCGAAATCGAGAGCCCATTGGTTGAGATTGCACGTTGCGAGGGTGGCGAGATGTCCCATGTTGATTTTGGGAATATGGTCGGGTTTGGGATGGTGTTTGGGTTGTTGGCAAATGCTGTTGGAAATTTGAATGATTAAGAGTTGAAGTTACTCATGGTGGGGGTGGGTCATGGTGGGGGGATGGATAGGGTAAGCACGAGATATACCGAATTATATCCGATGAAGTCTAGAACCTCTATGAATTCTTATATAGATATCTTTAGACTTAGTATTATTACTTGTCGTTATATTAAGCCCCAAAGTAATCAATTCAATATCTTCAGATTTGAATACTCTTAAGAATAAAATAGTTAGAGAATATTCTAACGATTTGATTAATAAATAGTTGTTTTATTTAGTTCTCTATTTAATGTTTATATTTAAAAAGTAAAAGCGTTATTAGAATATAGATAAATATTCAGATGATTTATTTCTAAATCGCTATTAAACTAAACATTTGAAGATATCATTATACTCTGTGATCTAGACCCCAAATAGGCTTAGAGCAATACGCCCCAAGCCGCTTAAAGACAATCTGCTATCCGCAAGGCTGAGTATTAACCCTACAAGTTTCCCCAACCTCAGCCTCACCCACAAATTCCTACCATGAGCCCCGTACCATGTCTCAACGTCTATTCTCCGCCCTGAGAAAAGGATCTCCCGCCCGACACTTCCTCAAAGACTTCTCCTACTGGGGCATCGTCATTGCATCATGGGTGCCCGCCGTCATATTCTTCAACGACCATGTAGCCGAACTGCACACCATCAACGGTGCTTCCATGTATCCATTTTTGAATACTGGGTATAACGAGAGTCTAACCCGGGATTTGTGTTTGGTTGATAAACGGAGTCCTACCCAGGGTTTGGAGCGGGGAATGCTTGTTTGTTTTCGGTTTGTCCTCTTCTTCCCCCCCTCCACCCATAATCAAAATCACAAGCACTAACGCTCTCTCTCACCCAAGATCTCCCTATAACCCAAACACCCTAGCAGTAAAACGCATCATAGCACTCGAAGGCGATCGCGTCTACACACATGCCCCATATCCCTACCCGATATCGGATATTCCGGCAGGACATGTATGGGTTGAGGGCGACAATACGGGCGCGATGAAATCGCTGGATAGTAATCATTATGGGCCCATAGCAGTGAATCTGATAACGGGGAAACCGACCTATATTTTGTGGCCGTGGAGTAGTGTGGGTGCTATTAAGTGGGAGAGGTGGAAGGGAAGGACGAGGGTTGTGAGGGGGTGGAATGGTGGGGGCTGAGGTGTTCTGCATGGGGAGTGAGCGGATGAGGCGGGAATGTCATGAAGATATGGATCTTGTTAGGATGACATTTAGCGGCGGCTTGATGAAATCTATGAAGTGGTTGACGATTCGGTCTGGCGTTTCTTCATTGGAGTCATCTGGTACTAAATATAACGTGAGATCAAACTCCTATATACTTCATCGATCGAAGGACGGCCAAAGCATAGAAACTTATTGTATATTTCCCTCTGGTTCTATCCAAACGGACCTAGAGACAGATAATTTGAGTTCTCATTTCCATCTCACTCAATTACCAAACTAATATCACCGAAAGACGAAAATAATGAAGGATTCACAAGTTAACCCAAAATACGAGTAGAAGACTTCACTAATCTATACACGTTCAAAACCCCCAGCAGTCTCTGCATAACCACTGATCCACTACTCCAAAAACTTCCCCCTCAAACTCCAGTACTCCCCCTTCTCGCGCGCATCAAGCCACGCTCGTATCTTATACGTGCGCCAACTATTATCACAATGCTGAACCGCGAGTTCGAAATCCACCTTCCCATTCTCAACCGCATTCATATATTCCTGGGTCCATTCTGGAGCCACAACATGCATTTCGTGCAGGAACAGCGAGCGCAGTTGCGTGAGTTCGTATTCGAGGAGGTACTCCCAATAGAGACTGTTTATGCCCTCGTTGTCGAAATCACTGTCGAGATCGCTGTCGATGGGGGATGAGGATGGGGAGTCCGGGGCATACTGATCGCGTTCTGGCTTTTGGGTGCGTTCTCGGGAACGGAAGAGTTCCGGGAGGGAACAGGAGCGCCAAAGGGGGAGGGCGGAGACACATTCCCAGTCGATGATACCGGTGATATTTCCATCGTCATCGACTAGGATATTCTGCATGGATAAGTCGTCGTGGAAGAGCACGGATTGTTCTAGGATATCTTGATTGGCAGGAAGTATACTGGGGAGTAGTTTGAGCAGTCTTTCGGCAAGCGTTTTAGAATTTTGAGCATCTTCAATATCATCTTCATCCTTCGACGTGTTCAGAATCTTTTCCTGATCTGTAAGAACCAAGTTGAGACGTGCGAGAATCCAGTCTGAGCTGTGAGCAAACGGGCCTCGGGGAATATCTTGTGCAATGTGATCTCCCCAGAAGAATACCAATGAGACCATTTGACCCAGAACTGGCAATGCAGGTATCGATCCTTGCAATGCCTCCCCCGCGATATCATTATCATCCGATGCAATACTCGTACTAGGAGGCGGGTTCCTGGCCCCGCTTCGAGATCTGGAGTGGCATATATGTTTCCAATACCAGAAAACTTGTGATGCAGAAGTTGGGCTTGATGATGCGCAATTTTCTTAACCAGATCTCTTTTCGAATTTTCCGATAATTTCCTCCATTTACTTCGCAGAGTCTGGCCTGGCAGCATATCCATCAATATCCACTCAAACCCGAGCTCATTCTCACTAGAATCATCAAATGCCAGAATCCGTGATACCGGTATATCTGTATTTTGGCGAATGAAGTTGATAGTAGCAACTTCACTATTCGTCTTGTTAAAAGGGTCGACAGGCAACGTGACGCGAATCAAGAAACATGCATCCGCATCCGCAGTCTTGAGTTTGTAAAGCTTATTAAAGGCTCCTTCTGCATAAAACGTAACTCGACAGAGAGAATTAACATCGAATTTGAGATGTTTGCGTGCGATTAATTCGATCTTGACGATATCGGGTTCCGTTGTCCATCGGGGTTCAAGGCCAAACATCTCCCCTACCCATTCCAGCCCATCTTGTTTGACCATTTCGTGGACTGATCGATAACAGCAGCAACGAGTAGATACTGAGCTTGAAGAAGATTGAGACTGGAGTATCAATAGTAAAGGAATTCGAGCTTCGTTTGTTCACTCTATGATGAGGAGCCTCGGTTAAATCGAAAGTGGACAGACAAGTCATGCAAAACAAACACCCGTTTCCAAGTAAACAAGCAAACACTCGTGATCGAGATCAATTTAAAGCAAGCGATATTTAAACGCTACTATCTCCAGCTACTAAGAATAGGAACGAGCATGAGTCATAGTCATCACAAAGCTATTACTCAAGATACACATACTCGAAGATGATTCGAAAGATTACAAATTCACCATGATTAATAGGTAACCATCACAATCCTTTGCTATGAGTACTATAAACAGGCATGAATGAGAATCTTTTGAAATGATTACGATATGGTATCAAAGAAAACAAACGAACCATCCCACTCCTATCCCTATCCCATACCCATCCGATACCCATCCAATACGCTCAACTCCCCAAGATCAACGAGACTAACTCCTCAACCCCTTCTTCAACCATCAGTTTAGCTCTCAATTCCTCAAGCTTGAAGATTTCCTGCCCGAAGAACAAAATCATATCATATCATTTCCGCATCCATCATACCACTATTCACATATATTCATACCCCAAAAGATCTGCCTGAGCCCTGCCATATTATACAGCCAGACATCGATAAATAACCATATACCAAAAGCTTCGTGAAGCTCATTTCGGGGTTGAGAAAATATACAATAACCCCTTCCCACCTAGATGCGCTTCCTCTGCCCAGCATGCCAACAATATCCTAATACCCATTCGAAGGTAAGCTCTGTATTTATGAGCAACGATGTGAATTAGAATGCTCCATACCCAGTGTCCGTAATTGGATTATACTCCGGCCACGTGGTCTTCACTCTTGCGATTAATTTAGCATTTAATTTAACGTTCTCGAAATGTTTTGGAAGCAATTCTCCAGCTCTATAGGTATTCCCAACATTAGTGCTGACATCCCATCAAGAATGGAGTTAGGTTTAGGGTTAATTCCACTTACAGCAACATGTTCGTTTTCATATTTCTTGCCCTGTCTTTCAAATTCACCTGTGACAAATTGTCCCGATCGAATCCACCACGTCTTTCGATCTCTGCCCAATTAGACCCGTATTTAGCGATGCGTCTTATGAGACGATCGGTATCGGCATCAGACCATACTTCGCGAGTTTGTGGTCTGTTGACGCCGACTTTGGTTGCTTGTGTTCTGGCATTGGTACGAGCGGTTCCCTGTATTTGTGAAAACGGTGCGGGGCGTAGTTCGTCATCGTCGGGCAATTCTAGGCTGTCTTCGTCATCGTCTAGGTCTATCCTCGGACTTCTTCTTAACGGACGTGGTGATATGCGTGGGCCTTGTTGTAATTGCGATCGCTCTCTTATCTGTTGGCTTTGTCGTTCAGAGGCGAATTGACTTTGTATATCATCATCATCATCATCATCATCATCACCATCTTCAATGGGACCGATTGGTGAGAAGACTTCTCGAGGTCTATCACCATTATGTGAGTTTTGTACTCGAGAACTCTCACCTGCTTCGGTACGCACTCGTTTATTCGGGCGGACCGAAGATTTAAGTGCAGCGGTTTTTCGGGGAGGATCCATGTTTCTCTGATCGTTTTGAAAGCCTGGATCGGAGCTAAATTCCTCCTCGTCCGTCTGAACATCTGGCGGAAGAGGGGTTTTGCGCTTCTTATTTTTTGGCTGAGGGAGTTCTGGGAGACCTTGGCTGTCCTCAGTCCACTGCACCCTTTCGGCATCGGGGTGCCTCCCATACATTCCTCGCCTTGCAGTTGTCGACGGATGAGCTCGAGATTCTTGGTGTTGATCAGGAAGTCGATTCTCTTTATTTTGGGACTTACTAAATGCCTTGAAAGCGGATGTGATTGCAGAGTCCTGCTGTTGCACTTCTGGTCGTGATCGTAATGGACCTGTAAGGCTAGATCTAGCATTCGCGCTAGGATTAGGTCTAGAGGAACCTTCTCTATCGCCCAATTGCTGACTTCCTGCTTTATTTTTGAGGTCTAGAAGCCTCCTTAAAGCGCGCGGGTCAAGATGATGACTATGCAGTTTTTAGTGGGGGCTCAATCTTTTGACTGTACTGAGTGTAATTATTAATCACGTGGAAATGATCAAATTCATACCTCTTCTGTGTTTTTGGTGGTGGCGGCGGGGGCATCATCATCTTCAATGATGGATTACTGTCTTGCTCCATAACTCGCTTTGGTGCGTTGAATTGTACTTCAATGTCGGGTTCGGGGTCAGATTCAATATCTTTAACAAGTTCCTGGAGCGACTCGATTACGTTCTCGATACCACCCCGAGTTTCTACATTGTTCTCGACTTCGGCCAAACGCTTTTGACCGTAGCCAATAAGATTGTTGAAAAACTCGGATATGGGGTACAAATCATCCAACATGTCAAAATCGACATATTCCCCGGGACCTGTAGCGTTCTCTGGGGGCTTGAATGTTTTGCGAATTAAATCCACCCTCTCACCGGCTCTATCGCGCTGCTCTTCGAAGTCAATGCCGTCAAAACTTCCATTCTCATCTTCACCCTCAAGGAATAACGTAGTTAGGACTCGATCGGGATCAAAACTCGGTTCCCCCATTTCCAATTGTCGTGAGACAGTTATGAATAGATGAGTCCGTATATCCAAAACCATATCAAAGCTCTCGTTGATTAGTTTGCTACCTCCGGAATCGGAATTTGCAGCAAACTCTGAGACAAATGGGCCCGGGAACGCCTTTTCTAAAGACTGGAGGAATACCGTCAGTTTTTGCTGACGAGCTTTATCATCCAAGTCTTGACCCATTTGACGTTGTTCGTTCACTTCGCTTATCAAAGTTGCAAGATTTGCCGAATGCAGAATTGCAGAGAGAGGAACAGCACTATCTCCGGGGACTTTTGACCCATATTCCTCAGAATCTAGCGGACCGAAGAGCTTTCTCAGTACGAGTTTAACCTCGATGAACTTTTCCGTACCGTATGGTTCTCGGAGTGCTTCAAAGCCATTACAAAGAGCATTCAAGAATTTGAGATGGCGTTTCGTATCCTTTGGCCGGACATTTTTATTCGCAGACTTGGTGATAATTTGACGAGCTGTGTCGTAAAGGTCAGAGAGGGTCTCTATAGCCGATTTCGAATCAATGGATTCCATCACTCGTTCTGTATGCAACGTGTTAACCGTTGTATCCGATATGGCAGTATGGGCGGGAGAATTAGCTTGATTACTTCGGAGATCATCTCCCTGCATGTCGAATTCTGAAGGCTCCGCGACCTTGGTAGCGTCTGGATCCTCCCCCTCTTCTTCGTCCTGCTCCACGTCCTGGCCTTCGTCCTCCTTCTCGGACAACAGCTCATCGGCTTCTGTGACTATAGGTAAATCTAAATTTCGTAAGTAATAATCATCAAACTCAATACGAATGAAGCTAACTTCTTGCGGTGGAGGCTGTTGTTGCACGGGGAACTCTGCGATTTCTTGGCTGATTATTACTACCCGTACTTTCAACACTTCCTTGTCGGGATCTTCGCGCATCCAAATCTATGCTTTGGCTTCTTGTTGTCCGAATGACTCTGCCAATAGGACTCTCGCGATTGGGTGGTGAAGAAGGTAAATCTCGCGATGCCGACCGCGTAGAAGTTCGAGCCATCTTGAAGATCCTGATGCGATTAAGTTATACATCGAGTTCAAGTATCCTCGCACACTCGGGTTTGTGTTTTGTCGTAAATCCTTTTATGGCATTTAATAGTGCGAATGGGTGGAGTTGTTATGATGTGGATGAATTAACGCGCTTTGTTTTGTATTGCTGGGTTGAGGTCGCAGGCAGAAGTGGGGGGCCGCACTACTTGAATTCCCGATAATTGAGGTTATCAAATCACGTAGTCACGTGTATGTAACATACTCGGTCAGCATCGCTGTCTGCAGAGTTCTAGCCCCTTACTCTATCTACCTGGTACCGTATGTATCTAATCAAGGTAAACATCCGGATGAACATCTACTCGAGTAGGTGTTTTCTACTTGGAGTAAGTAAGTAAGTATTCTAAATTCTCTCTTTAAATAATTAACCAAAAAATCTCTCCTTATGATAAAAATGTAACAGATGTACCGGTAGTTCTATTCAACTGTCGATAGTTTTGTATTCAGGGGCTTTTGAGATCTTCAACACCCCAACCTCTCTGTTCTGAACTATAGTAGGACCAGAAGAATATATTTTATATAAACCGTTAAAATGATAGAAAACGAGTATATCTATTAATAGTGGAACAGTGTAGCCAATCAAAACTTAAGCTGACTACAAATATCAAATAGCGGATCCCCTTTCCTTCCTCTTTCGGTATTTCCAACAAATAATCTGTTTATAACCAGTACCTTTATACGAACGTTAGGTATCTACTCTACTACTTATCATATTCGAACCACCCCCCTTCCCCCCCCTCCCCCCCTCTCAATATAACTCTCTATCTTTTATAATACAGCTTTCTGCAAAACTCAAACAGAGGTATGTGTTTTTGTTGTATTTAATAATAATGTTTAACAAATTCTTATACTCAAAACTCAGAATCAGACACGTCATTTGAAACTCATCCTATACAACTGCCGATTGACGCCTTATATCCAACAATTTCCAATTCCCACAATCATACACCCCTTCCTCAATAACAGTTCTACTACATCTGCGAAGTTCAGTTCAAAGATATAATTCAAAATGAGATTCCGGAGAAAGCAATCCCCGTTGCTTTTACTTTTGTTGCCATCATTGGCTCTGGCTCTATCTCCTGCGGCACAAGACAACATACAATCAACTCTCTCGAAAGATACTGATGCGCAGACTGGAAAGACAGATAAGAATGTCGATTCGGGATACGATGCATCATCAGCTGTGGCAGGTATTGCCGATAATAAAGCAAAATATGATGTTGGTACCAAAGATGCGCCAGTCGACGGTAAAGATGGAAAACCACATGCTGGGCCATTCGTAGACAACACCAAAAAGGATCCGAAGAGCGATGCTACAACGGATGATAAAACGGATACCAAGGACTTGAAAGAATCCAAGGACTCCAATTCCAAGCTCGAAGACGGAGAATTGGTCGTGCCACCTATAGCAAAACCTTCCACACCGAAAGAGGAAATAATGCTTGCTGCTGATGGCACTAAAATCCCCCAGAGCAATAACGGAGTTATGAATGACCCAGGTCGAGAATTACCTAAACATGGCACAACAGGCACGGAGGGAGGTGTGAGTGAGAAAGAAAAGACGCGAAAGGGTCAAGAAAGCCAAACGGGAGAGAAGGTGGAAAAGAAGCCAGCGTCTCCTAAAGAGGCACCTCCAATACCCCACGATACCGAACAGAAATTACAGATTGAGACCAAAGATTCGCTGAAGAAGGATTCGACGACCAAGAAGGATGTTGATGGCAAGGAAACTGATGGCGTCGATAATCTCGCTGGATTGGATAAACCTACAGATCTTCCAGACAAGACGAACAATGCTCCTCACCCAATTCCTAATTCGGCCAACAAGGACCACCTAGATCTTACGAAACCCGATTCAAAGGCCATTCCAAAGCTTGAATTGGAAGGAGAGGGTAACGATGGTCTCATTCAGCCTCTACATTCATATCTTCTTTCACTCGCAATGATTTTGTGTTCTGAAATTGGGGACAAAACATTTTTGATCGCAGCATTGATGGCTATGAAGCATGATCGACTTCTCGTATTTTCCGCCGCCTTTTCTGCATTAATAGCTATGACAATTCTATCCGCAGTATTAGGTCATGCAGTTCCTACCTTGATTCCAAAACGATTCACGAATTTCCTCGCCTCGGGATTATTCTTGATCTTTGGAGGACGTTTATTGAGAGAAGGCCTGGCCATGAGTCCGGATGAAGGTGTAGGGGAAGAAATGAAAGAAGTTGAAATGGAACTCGAGGAGAAAGAACATTTGGCAAAACAACAAGGACGACGTCGATCATCAGTCTCACCATATGCTCTCGAAATGGGGTTAGGGGGCGGACAACGAGCCAGCACAAGAAAATCTAGATCAGGATCCCGTCTTCCATCTCCACCAAGAAGCCCTTCGTCATCACCAGATAGATCTCCTTCTCCTAAACGATCAACATTGAAAGGTGTTGCAGGCGGCTTGAACAATCTTCTTTCATTACTGTTAAGTCCTGCTTGGGTACAAACATTTGTCATGACTTTCCTAGGAGAATGGGGCGATCGTAGTCAAATTGCTACAATTGCTATGGCTGCAGGTCAAGATTATTGGTGGGTAACTGGTGGTGCCGTTAGTGGTCATGCTGTATGTACTGGTGTGGCCGTCATAGGAGGAAGAGCCATCGCAGGCAAAGTGAGCCTAAGAGTTGGTACGTTAAAATGTTCTTGGTATCAAACCTCAAACTACAGAATACTAACAACTTCACAGTAACATTGGGAGGCGCAATCGCCTTTTTAATCTTCGGAGTGATATATCTCGTGGAAGCGCTATACTACGCGTAAAGCTTTGCAGCTACTACATAGCTTCTTAGTTTCATTTCTTCCCTGACCTTCATATCAATATCAAAATACATGTAATAACAATTCAAATTCAATTCGATTCGATTCCACAGTACTTTCTTTCTTGTCTGTCTTGAATTGTATTCGGGAACTAACACAAAAAAGTATTCTTGCGATAAAACATTCCTTTTGCGCGTTTAACATTTTCTTGGGGTTTGGTTTTGGTCTAGGCATTGGCATTGGCGCATGTGAATTGAATCGTTCAAAATTACTTGGGCAGAAATGAAAGGAATGGGATGGCAAGAAAAGAAAAGGAATGGAAAGAGAAGAAGAGGAAAGGAAAGGGAGATAGCTGCTTTATAATACTACCTAGGTACTTGAGTAAGATTAATACTTACTTTGTTGTTAATATATGATGGATGAGCGAAGAGAAGATTGAGTGGGACTTTAGGTGGGATGGATGGATGAATGGATGTATGCAATCTTACCATAAGAGAGAGGGTCCTTGGGGCGAGGGGGCATATCGTGGGGTAGGGAGGGGCCCTATGATTAAATGGTAGCGTTAGATGCCTAGGCCTAGATTGGGTTGGTTGGATGGATCGATGGATGGATGGATGGGGGAAGAAGGGGAGAAGAAAGGGAAGGGGTTTAGGAATGGAGATGGAAAT